ACCCATCTGGTGGATCTTTATGTGTCAAGACTAAGGTCTAATTTGGAACAGCTTATAAGTAGCTTATAAGCTGATTTTTAATAGTTATTTACGGAATACAAAATAAATATATAAAAAAAGTTTTATTTCAGTTTATATAAAAACGTGCTTATAGAGAATTTTTATCGCTCTACCAAACCGGGCCTAATTAGATTAGAAGCTCCGTATGACTCATTTACCGGGATTAAAATATCTCTGACTGTGACTTATGTCATTCAAGTTATTAAAACATAGATTCAATCATTTGTATTAGAGATGGCTAAAAAAAAATCATTTGTATTAGAAAATACTAATTGATAAAAAATATCATTTAATATGCATAATTAATAGGAATGGTTGAAAAATTAGAAATCTCGGAAACAAAATTAATTAATATCTTATATTTATGATTAAACCAAGTTCATCAATCAATTCATATATTCATGAGTCAAGAGAATATTATTTTGATCTTTCACTGAACCAATTAAAAAAGTTTTTATCGAGAGAGAATTATTCTCACATACTTATTTCAAACTCAATGAAATTATTTTTAAAAAGCTAATTCAAACACAGTGTGGTTTCACAAATCACAAGAGAGAATTTAAGCCTTTCGCGTTGTGCAGATATTTCCCCACAAACATTTTATACCCAAAAAAATTTCAAATTTCAATGTATAAAATGTAGGATATACTAGTATAATGTCTATTTTATTTTTAAAGAATAATTTATGAGCATTCTTTCTTTTTCATTATTTTTTTAAATTTTTTTAATTTATACAACAAATACTGAAGAAGACATGAGACACGCACGTGTCTTTTGTTTTTTTGGTAAGAGACATGCCCGTATTTATCAGCAGCGTTAGCGACATCTGGGATCAAATAAAAGGCCAAGAGCCCATTATCAGCCTGGCGACAGACTAAAGCCCATCTTTGGGCCCAATTAGTCCCAAAAGACTTTGTTCCACCTAGTTTTGGATTAGGTCACTGAACTTTTTTTCTTCCCTTCTTTATTGGATCCTTTTAGGTTCTGTCATTAAGTCCGTATTCAAAACTATTGCCTCTCTGCCGACGGGATTGGGTCTAATAAAAAAAAATTAACCCCTCACAACGGAACTAATCGAAGTTCAAATTTTTACTAAAAGATGTGTTCATATTTAATACCCAACAGTATTTTAAATATGATTGCCTCCAATAGAGGATATCTATGCTTTAGCCATACTAAAAAAATACTACCTCTGATCCTAATTATAAAAACTAGTTGACTAATTTAAAGAGATTAAAAAAATAAGTTAAGTTAGTTATTTATAATAAATAAGTATTGTCTTTCCTAAAATATCCTTACTAATCAAGTATATTGGTTATAAGTATCATTGTTAGAAGGACTGCCTTAGAAAAAAATTGCATAAATATGAGAGACACAGTGGATTGACGTCTTATATTTATGATCAAAATAAAAATCAAACAAAACTTTATATTAAGGACCAGAGATAATATTACATAAAGACTAACAGTGTTAAAAAGTTTATTGCAAAAAAAAAGGACTGAGGTGGCAAATATTAGGATAATTTTGATACTTTGATTTCCTAAGTAGGCATGTATGAGGAAAAAAATTTAGTATATCAAGAAGTTCTTATTAATCATGTGTATTAAAAATAATTTTAAATAAAATTTTTTAATATAAGTAATCATTATTAAAATTATTTAAACAAAATAAATAAATATTAAAGATCAGGTAGATTGAAATTTATGGCTAAGATCAAATTAAATTTTTAATTAATTCTTATGTTAATCTGTGCACCAGACGGCGGCGACGGCTATGATAATAATAGGCCCCACGCCTAATTTGCCTAACCTATTCGAACGGCCAAATGCCTGGTCCCAAGTCAAAAACTGACAAAAGGATCCTCTAAATTTATTTTCGGTCAGAATTTGAGAGAACTTGATTGAGGCACAATTCAGCTGCTTCTTCGGATTTTCCTTACGGAAAGTACTGAGTGCTATCCTTTGAAATTTATTTTCAGTTTGTTTTAAAAAATTTTAAAAAAATGTATTTAAGCTAAACATGAAAAGGTTGTTGAAAATATATAATGAAGTGATAAGGAGAACGTAAGCTAAAGGCATGACAGATTTGCTGGGAAACGCTTGTTTCTATATGCTAAAGTGACCCCTTAATCTCAGTTGTTCATTCTTCACTGGTTAAAGTTAATATTAATTATTAATTATTTTTTAATTAATTTTATCATTTTTTAATGCAAATAAAGTTTATATCTTAACAAAAATAATACAAAATTGTTATAAATAATATCAATCTATACTAGGGTAAGTTGATCATATTTAATTCAAAGGAAAAGCATTGGATGCTTTCGTATGGGGCAAAGTGTCAAATCCTTTTAGATCAATAATTGTTCATGATAGGAATGTGGGATATTTTTTCTTTCTAAATTTAGTTTTCATGAAAAGTTTCAATATTATACTCCTTCGGTCCTAAATATTTTGTAGTGTAAATTACACTATAAAAGAGATATTTTATTTAGAATCAGGGGAGTAATCTATAAACAAGGTGCTTAGAATCTTTAACTTATAGTCCAGTTACAGATTCGAGATACAAACTTCAAAAACAATGAGAAGCATTTTACACCAATGAGGTTGGGTTCCGTCATAGGATTACTTATTTATAACGTGGCAAATTAAAGTTTAAATTTTTATTAAAAGAAGTATTTATATTTAACACCTAACAATATATTGAACACAATTCTTTGTGTCTAAAAAAAATATTTTACCTTAAACTATTGTGAGGGAGGAAAAAAAAAAAAGAAATGAACTAAAACTACGCATCACTCGACTATTCCAAAGTCCAGTCCAATCAACATCTTAGAAATTCAGAATTTGCAAGAAATGATGGTTAATATAACGGATCACATAGTCATTATTTGTGTGAATACCAATAATTATCCAAGTAAGCCCCCTCCTCTTATACTCTTCTGGTTTTTAATATAAGTCTTATTTAACTGATTTGATTAGATTAAGAAAGTTAGATAAGTTAGTTAACTATAATAAATATGATATGTTTTTTCTAAAATACCTTAATCATCTTCATTATATCCTCCTCTTTCTCATGTTTGATTATAGTTGATAGAGTATCAACATGGGTTATTTGAGAAAAATTGATAGATATAAGAAATATGTCTTATATTTAGAACTAAAACCAACTTCACAATTAGAACCAGAAGAGTATATAAAAATATATAGAGAGATAAGGTTATTGTTTTTTTTTTTTTTGCCCACAAATAAGGTTATTGTTAAGTAACATCAACTAATCAGCCCAAAAAAAAAAAAGTAACATCAACTATCGAAAATGGGCAGGCAGACCGAAATTATTAAATTAAAAGTCAAAATTTTCCTTTAAAAAATGTTAGAAGATTAGATTACACCTGAAAAAATGATTGAAAATATTTCACCACCCATCCACACTGAAACAATGTGGCTTTTATATTGTTTTTATTATTAATATTTTTTTAAAATTTTATTTTGTTCCGTTTGTGGCCGAACAGATTCAGATCCAGCAATAAGAGACAAGCACGAATGTCTGGCGGAGTCCAAGGTGGCCGAGGGGCCATCGGATACTTACGTTAACGACAACGACTGACTTAATTTTCTTTTTCTTTTCTTTTTTCAACTTTTTGCTTATTGCATAAAAAATAAAGGGAAAACTGAGGATAAATGCTTGTTCAAAATTTAGTTAGTAAATAGGACTTAGTATATTATACAAGGAAAGCTTAATTACACACAAAAAAAGTAATTTGCATAAAGAGAAGATAATTTGTATAGAATATTATTTAGATATAAGGAATTAGTTCGCACATAAAGAAGATAACTTGCATATAAGAGAATTTCATTTACACAAAAAAAAATTGAGTTGCACATCGTATAAAAAAAGATCATTATACACAAGAAAAGATAAATTGGACACAATAGAAGTTAAATTATACAAAATCCTTAGATCTCATTTGCCAATTAAATTTTCAACGAGGGATTTGTTCCCAATTTTTTCAAAAATAAATGGAATAATTTTATTAAAGAACCATAGATGTGATTTTAGTTCTATGTCGCCTCAAAAGGTGCTGAAGTTTTATTGCAATACCAAAAGAACCAAAGTGAAATTATGTTTCAATGGTAAACAACCGAAGTGCTTCTTTTTAAGAGAAAACTTATTAATTCTCCTATGATTGGTTATTAAAATGTGTATCTATATTTGTAAATAAACAGGCATAAATTTTTTTATAATAAAATGTTTGATTATGCAAACCGAGAGTTCTAAACTTTCATATGCATACTTGCAGATTTTGATATTATTTTTTCATCATTAATATAAGACCTAATATGATATTTTTTTAAAATACCCTAATCATTTTTTTAATTTTCTCTCTTTCTCTCATACTTGATTATTATTGAGAGAATATTAATAAGATTAATTTTAAAAAAATTAATAAATACTCATATGTGAAATATGTGTTATATAGAACTAATAACAACTCTCAAATTATTAGTTACTACTTCCGGTCTTTAATATAAGAATTTATTTAACTTTTATTTTGATCCTCAACATAAGACCCCAATCCATTTTGTCTCTCATATTTACTCAATTTTTTTCAAGATAATCCTTCTAATAATTATAGTTCTAATTAATACACTTGATTAGCAAGGATATTTTAGGAAAGACAATACCTATCTAGGACAAATAACTAATTTAACTTACTTCCTTAATTTCTTCAAATTAATCAACTGGTTTTTATAATTAGGACTGTATTTTGGTTATTCATTATCAAAACATCAGAGTTTTTTTAGAGTTCAATCGAAACAAATTTACATTAGTGGTCCTTTGATAAAATTATCCCGAAAATAACAAAGCTTAGCTGGCATTAGAACGCTGGTCAGGTTGGCAATCGGCTCGCATGATTCTCAAATTCCCACCATCTTCATCATTCCAATACCCATAAAAAGGTCAATGACCCCCAAAAGAGAGGAGATCGATCTAATCAACAAGAAGAAAGATCAAGAACAACCTCGAAGAACATGATCATAACCTCGTCATCTTCTTTACTCTGTTTCAACTAACACAGCAACAAACAAACAAACAAACCAGACTGGTTCTGCTTCTTCATCATGGACTCTACTTCACAGAGCAGAAGAAAAAGAACCTTGCTTAAGGTCATCCTCCTCGGTGATTGTGGGTATGTCTCTTAAATCTATAACTTTCTACTCTCAGAACTCATCAGATCACTTATCATCGGATGATCCGAACTAAATGTAAGTTTTTAATTCCTCTGTTTCTTGTCCTGTTTGATTTTGCAGGGTGGGAAAGACGTCTCTGATGAATCAGTATCCTTTTTTTTTTTTTTTCACATCAAACAATGAAATTTGAATTCTTGTTACTTCTCTGATTTCTCTGTAGACTCAGCATTATATATAAATCCCCATTAACTTGATTGATTCTTGCTTTTCTCTCAATAGCTATCAAATTCATAACTTACTACAAATTCAGATACGTGTACAAGAAGTACAGTGAGCATTACAAATCCACGATAGGGGCTGATTTTGTTACAAAGGAACTACAAGTTGATGACAGAACGGTAACTTTGCAGGTGAGTGATTGATTTCTTTGTGTTTGTTAAGGAAAAGGTTGAAGTGATTTTCTGGGAAAATTCATGTTGTGACTGCAGATTTGGGACACGGCAGGGCAGGAAAAGTTTCAGAGTTTGGGAACTGCATTTTACAGAGGAGCAGATTGCTGTGTTCTGGTGTATGATGTGAATGTGCCTAGAACCTTCGAGACACTCAACACGTGGCATGACGAGTTCTCTAGACAGGTTTGTGGCATCAATCCGGATTTCTCTCTGTGGAGTTACTGTCTCTGTTTATGTTTAGTGAATTTATGACCATTGGATTAAAAATCTCTAGATGATATGAATGGCCAAACCATGTATATGGAAGGCTCTATTTATTATGATAGCTACATTTCTTCCATTATATTTTGAATTCACTTTTCTTCCCAATGCCAAAAAAAAAAAAAATCCACAAAGAGATAAAGAGAGATGATAGTTCACTGTATCTGCCCTTGGGGTCATGCTTGAGATGAGGTTAGATATACTATCTCCGGTCTTTAATATAAAACCTTGTTTGACTTTTGTTTTGATCTTAAATATAATACTTTAATCCAATTTGTCTCTCATATTAATTTATTTTTTCCAAGATATCTTCTTCTAATAATGATAGCTCTAACCAGCAAACTTAATTAGTAAAGATTTTTTTAAAAGATAATACCTATTTATTATAAATAACTAACTTAACGTGTTTTTTTAATTTACTCAAATTAGTCAACTAACTTTTATATTTAGGACTGGAGGTAGTATATACTTTAGGATATCTTGCTTCCAATTACTAATATAAAATATTAGTCGGGAGTTCGAGTTTAATCATAATTCATAAATATAAAGTATTAGTTTATTTTGTTTTTTATATTTATCTTTTTTTCCTTTTAAATTATCTCTATTGATTATATATATGTTAAGAGAGTTTGTATGAGAGGTAATTTTAATACAAATAATTTAAGAAAGTATTTTAGAAAATTAAACATATATTTTTGACAAATAACTAATTTAGTTAATTTTTTTCAATTCAAATTAGCTAAGCAGAGCAAGTAACATATTTTTTTCTTCTTTTCAGATTTATGTTCAAAGAAGCAGTTTTTTTTTAATTGATTAGAGAACTAGGCTGGTTCAATGTTTAAGACCATAAACTCATCACATGTTCTAAGAGAATTGGTGGGCTAAAGAAAGGATGAAAAATTTAAAAAAAAAAGGCAAGAAATATGGGTACACTTGCTTCATGCATGTATATTCTTTTTTTTTTTTTTTACTAGCATTCATGCATGTATATTCTAAAATTATAAATAATAAAATCAGTATATATATATTGGATGACAACAACGGAGTAACAATGAATACTGCCTTTTTTACCATTGGATATGGTAAAATAGTTTCATAACTGTTTCTTTTAAAATTACAGAAAAATTTAGAATCTTTCCTTGAAAATTCCTTGAGTTGTTAAGATGTATAAAAACTTATTTGATTTTTATTTCGTCTTAAATATAAAATCTCAATTGATTTTTTTATATTTATCTATTTTTTTAAGATAGTCCTTGTAATAATAGTAGTTCTAACTAATACACTTGATTAGTAATGATATACAAATAACTAATTTAACTTTTTTTTTAATTTATTCAAATTAGTCAACTAATTTTTTTAATCTATTCAAATTAGTCAACTAATTTTTAGTTTTTATATTAAGGACTGGAATTAGTATAATAAAATGATGTGGAAAGTAAGTCAGTTTGAAATATTAAAATCACCTAAAAATCTCCCTGTTATTGACTCATTTATTTTCAGTTTTTTCACCAGGTTTTAATGAAATAAAGCTCATTTTGTGTTTTTCATTTTGATCTCAGGCAGATCTGGACAACCCCGCAGCATTTCCCTTTGTATTACTCGGAAACAAAATTGACCTCACTATCGGCCAGAATCTAACGGTATGAAACGACATTAACTAACTTTTCTGAATCTAATCAATGATTTTAGTTTTGTTCTAACAGCATGGTATGAGTGCGCTACGTGTTACTGGCCATTACCTTCAACACTACGCTATTGAAATAGAGAGATTTATACAATAGTTATTTATATGCTGGTAAAAAAAATAGTTATTTAAATAACCAATTTGTAGAAATTAATTAAGAAAAACAGTTACGCCAATCATTTATATAAAATTGTGTGTTTGTTTTTATAAAGGAGAGTATCTATTTTAATCATTTGGATGGGAAACTACTCCTTTAATAAAAAAAAAAAAACTCTTTAACATGTGCAATTAATAAAAAAAATTTACTTTGATCATAAATATAAGGATTTTAACATTTTTGGCCTTCCAAATTTATACTCTTCCGATCCTTAATATAAAACTTATTTAATTAATTTGATTAGATTAAGGAAGTTAGGTAAGTTAGTTAATTATAAGAAATATAGTATGCTTTTTTTAAAATACCATAATCATTTTTCTTAATATTCTCCGTCTCTCTTCTACTTGGTTATAGTTGAGCGAATATACCTAGGGGTACTTTAAGAAAAATTAATAAATATGAAAAATAGGTCTTATATTTAGAATCAAAATTAATTTAATAATTAGGTCTTATATTAAGGATTGAAAGAGTAATATATTTATTAAATTATTCATATTGATTACACGTGAAAAGAAAAAGTTTATAATGATGGGTAGTTCTAACACTAATGAATAAATATGACATTTTAAGAAAACCAACACACATTTTTAATAAATAATTTAATTAATTTTGAAATATTTTTTAGAGGTAATTGAAATGCTACATCTAATATCAAAATAAACCCATTATTATTAAACTCTTACATTTTTTAAGACTAGAGGGAGTAACTTTAGTTCTTATTCATGCACGTGAAAAATGAAGACTTGGGTGTATATATATATGATGCAGGTTTGCGAGGAAAAGGTTAAGGAATGGTGTGAGAGCAGGGGAAACATACCGCACCTCAAAACGTCTGCCAAGGAGAACTACAATGTTGAAGACGCATTCTTATGCGTTGCTAAAATTGCACTCGAAAATGAACACCAAGAAGACATGTAAGAATCTTAGTCAATCTCCAACTCGTGGTTATATTATACTCTTTTTGTCTTAGAAGGTGTTTGGATAGAAATCAAATTATGATTTTAAAAGTGTTTTTATAATTTACGAAGTAAATATGTGAATGAGTTTGTCTCGTTTTGCGGCACTTTTGAGGGTTGCCAAACACCCCCTTAAACTTAAGACTTATATTATAAAATAAGTTTTATATTTAGGATTAAAAGAAATACTTTGTATTATCTTTCTTGTTGATTTTTGAGCTTATTTTTGGAAATATCAGTGTATGATTTTAAGAAATGAATATAATTATTAAAAAATCTCATGATAAATGAGTGATAAGCTTCATGGTAAGAAATGAAGCTGTTAATTTATTATTGGGATTTTTTTATAATTATATTTTTTCTTGAGATTTTTATAGCAATTTTTCCTTTATTTTTTCTTAGTTCCTGCTTTAATCATGTTCATGTAATTGCAGATATTTTCCGGGATTCTCCGAATCTGTTTCAGAACCAGAACAACGTAGCTCTTGTGCCTGCTAATGTTGGATGCCACCTCAAATTACTGATGGATGAATCTAAATCCACACGATTTCTTTTATTTTCTTTAATGTTCATTGGATGTCGAGTAAATTAGTAACAGTAATTTTTCGCAGTTTTAATGAGATTACATTTATTTTTAAAATACCTTCTTGTTTAATTTTATCCTTTTTCATCACTCCGTCAATGAAAAAAATTCACGCATCTATCTATTAGAAATTGAACTCATAATCTTATTCTTAAAAAAAAAATTAAGGACGTGGTTAGTGTTTTTCAAATAATTTTAGCTTAATACCCAATTTATCTTGAAATAAGTCAATAACCATAATCATTAGAGAAAAAGACAAAAAAGAAACTGAAAATTACGATGTCCCAATTTAAACGCCTAACACTTCAAAACCTTGGGAAAGAAAATGGTGACTGATATGATATTTTATAAATGTAGTTTAATGACCAAAATACCCTTATTTCAAATTTATCATTACCAGTATATTTTTTATCATTTGTTATTCAATATTTGTCATTGTCACTTCATAACTTATTAATAAATAATTTGTTATTATTAGTATATTTTTGTCATTTGCTATTTAACACTTATCATTACCAGTTCACAACTTATTAATAAACTTTTTGAAATAAGAGCGTTTTAGTCATTTAACTATATTTACAAAATATCATATCAGGAACTACTTCATTTCTTAAAATTTTTAAGTATTAAGTGTTTGAATTGGGATTTCGCAATTTTTAGGGTTTTTTTTTTTTTGTCATTGTCCCTTATCATTATAAGCGGCATTTATCATGTAGAATGTTGAATAGGCATGGATTTCTCAGACATCATAAACATTATTCTCAAATGATCCAAAACGTAAATGATCATATTTAAATTGAATCAAGTTGAATTACTATTACTAAAATTATATTTAAGATGAAAAAGATAAAAGTCATATTTATTATCACGATTGAGATAACTTATAAATACATTTTACGTAAATCGAGATATAACTCTTTTCACATGTTTATCTTGTATTTTATAAATTACGATTAAAAGATTATTTTTAAATTATTCCAAACGGATTCAAAGTCATGTTCAGGGTCTCAGAGAGCTGTGGATGAACAAACATTTAATGAAGACAAAAAATTAAGAACAAAAGAAAATGATAGAACTGATTAAAAAAATAATGATACAGATGGATCTATCTCCATCGTTCGATTAGCTTGTGATCTGACCACAGGTATGATGTTCTTTGCATTTTAGCGGCCGATAATTAATTTCACATAAAAATCTCACGTTTAGACTTTTTGTTTTTGGGTTTTTTTTGGGGCCAACTTCAAGGTCGCAACACCACATAGCTCGTCATTTCCAGCGAGGCACGGAAACTTGCTTTGGTCCCCTTCAATGGCGTTCTCTGCAATTTCTTCGTACTCTCCCCAGGTTCTTGGTGTCCCCAAGGACTTGGCTCCGATATCTGTTCCTCCAAATTCAGTCTCTTTTCGATTTTCACGACCAAATCTCCACCATCGGAAATCCTTTTCGATTCGCTCAGTTCAAGTTCCAGGTATTTTTCATTTTTATTTCCCCTTTCTGTATATTCTGTATTACTCGATATTTTACTCCCTGATTTTTATATAATATGATTTTCGTGATGCTTACTTTTATGGAGTTCAGTTGATACGTCTTCCGTTTGACCTTGCGAATCATGAACATAACCTGGCTATTGATGTTTTGTCAATTAGTCCATGTTATTCTCTGTTGAGCAATTAATCCTGTGCCATTGTTATGTTTGGAATTTCATATGCTTAATCTTTTTAGGGATAGCTAAACTCAAAAATTCAGTTTTTCTCTCGTTGGCTTCTTACATGTTCATATGCTGTTTAGATGTTTCGTTTCGTTTCGCCCCCCCCCCCCCAAAAAAAAGTTTTGGTTAACGGATTCTCTTTCTCCCATTTGAAGGGTTTCTTACTTTCTTTCATTGTGGAAAGTGTTGCACTATATTTTCAATGTAATAGCAAAAACCTAGAGTTTGCTCAATTCCTCCGAATTTATTGGAGCTATGTTAATATTAGATAGAGGAATGAGAACCTTTACGCATTTATTTCTTGATTTCCTAGCTGGCGACTTGTTGGGAATAACTCTTTTTTTAACACAATTTCTAATTTGAAATGGAAGTCCAGCGGTCATTATAAGGTCAAGGATTTGATCAAAATTACGCAGTGATTCAAAGATTTGATATATTAATGGTGTATTGGAAGGAGTGGAGGGAGATAGGATGGAAGTGGACAACGTATCAAACCATTCAGTAGGCCTTGAGACACATCGTCAATATTGACCCTTTGCCTCTTCATTTTCACTTTAATACGGCGCTTGCCTTACCAAGGCAACTTGGTTTTCTTGTTGTTCGGTTTACTTGCCAAAAGTTGGAATATCTTATAGACACGGCTAGTTTTCTCAGTTTTTGTGTGCATATTTTTGGAGTTGAATTCAATAGCTTCAGAATAACATTTGTCATTCATTTATTTCCACCTGACCTTTAGACCAATAACAGTCTTTTCTACCTAAATCTAACAGCTGCACCAACACCAGAAGGATTGGCACCTGCAATTTCTCTGACGGATAATGCACTGAAGCACTTGAACAAGATGAGGTCTGAGCGCAACCAAGATTTATGCTTAAGGATTGGTGTTAAACAGGGTGGTTGCTCTGGCATGTCATACACAATGGATTTTGAAGACGGGGCTAACACAAGAGCAGATGACTCCATTATTGAATACAATGGTTTTGTAATTGGTACGACTTGTCTTGTAGTTTATTTGACATTTTTAATCCCTAAGGCAGGGTGGGATGGCATTGGCATATGGGTTGTTATGGGATTGCTTCTTTTGGAGTGTCAGTGCGTCTACATTTGGAATGAAACATTTACTCCGAGAAATTAACTAATCTTCCAGGATTCAGGTTTCAAGTAGCGTAAGAATTTACCTTTTTCTTCCTGATTTATAATCCATCAAAGACATATTTTCACAATGATAGTTTTGACTTCGGGGGTGCTCGGTTTGTCCAAAAAGTATTTTTAAAAAGTGCTTTTATGCAAGTGAAGACAAAACTTTTTTCACATACTTATTTCGTATACTGTAAAATTACTTTTAAAACCTAATTTGCCTGCAATTTCTAGTTTCGAATTCGTGTTTTACCTAAGAGCTAAGTTTGAAAGTGTGAAATGGTGTGGCTGACTGTTTTTCCCTCCCAAATTCAGGTATAACTAGGAAAAGTAATATAGGAAATGCTAGTTTATTCGCTGTCACTGCTTGCTTGAGGCTGGTTCATCGTTCATTTTATGAATTGACTTCTAAATCTGAGAATGCAGTAAAAGCTTCTTCTTCTACATGATCTTTTGTTTAAGCTTTCTTTGCTGAATTTTTTAGTAGTTGTGATCGAACTAGAATTGTGATGGTTGAAACTGCTCTTGCATTACTTCCATTGATTGGGCTTACTGCCTGTGATGAATAAAGGAAGGGTTACTTGGTATTGAATTCGCTGAATTTGTAGCCTCCATTGGGTCTGCAACGCGCGCGCACACACAATGTTACAAGAAATTCATTGATGAATAATATTCTTTTGCCTGTGATTGAAGATATTTTGGTGAAACGAAACTGGAGATTCAGGATATACTATAGCTGTAGTGATCGGTGACTCTTTGAATTCACTGCTTGTATGATTATCCATTCAAATTACAAAGGAAACTATATTGTGGGATTTGCATGTCTTACTATAGGGTTTGATTTTATTAGTTTATATATTGCATGAGGCAGTACTTATTTATGTAAATGTTCCTCAACTTTTCTTCCATGTGGTTTTGCAGTATGTGATCCCAAGAGCCTACTCTTTTTGTATGGTATGCAATTGGATTACAGCGATGCTCTGATTGGGGGAGGCTTCTCTTTTAAGAATCCTAATGCTACACAAACCTGTGGATGTGGCAAATCTTTTGCTGCAGAAATGTAAAATTACATGCACAGACATTAGACGATAGTGATTGGTTTAACTATACTTAGATTGTATAATAAAATTTCTAATAGATGGAATATCATTTGGATGAATTGTCAAGAAGAAATTTCTGAATATGTGTCTGTTGTTTTCATGCTTATATGGGTCTGCTGTTTACTCTTGGTTTTGTGACCCCTCTTGTTGAAGGATTTGTGACTTTCAAATTTCGATAGAGAAAGATTTGACAAGCTTGTTCAAACCAAGTTACAGGGCAGGAAAGTGCAAATGATCCTTGTCAAGGCTCTCTAGGAAGCTTTGGCATGGGGGTCGGAATATTTCTATTAACTTCTTGCATAAAGAAGCTAATGGATATGCCCATTTCCTCTATTGGATGACTTTTGTATTTTTAGTCAAACTCCGTCTAGGGAGGTGGAGGTGGATGATTAAAGCTAATTAGCTTATTGCTGCATTTGTGATCTATTCAAGCACACACAAAGTATCGTTTTTCGGTGTGAGAGAGTCAATTTTAAATGTTGGGTGCGTTAATTATTTTTTTCCACAGAATGCAATAAATAGAGAAAATCCTAGTCATTTTTCTCCGGCATAATAAATACAACTTTTTTATTTAAAGTTCCAAACTTGTGTCTTGTAATAAATTATAGGATGCATTAAATGATTATATGATTTTAAAATAGGTAAAAACGTTTGTATAAGAAGAAGTGGTAAGATGTATTGGATTTTTTGCGGTCAAACATTGTGCTGGCATCAAGATTATTGAAAAAAAAGATCAAAAGTTAAATTCTAAAATGTAAAAAAATTGAGTATTAAAAATATAAAAACATCTTAATTAGGACAAGAGTCCTAATTTAGGATTTTTGATATTTTTAAATGATCAAAATATTTCTCTTTACTTAAAATGAAAAATTGATTATTTTATCTCAATCACATAAATTTCCCTTCTATTTTATCTCAATTACAAAAATCTCCTTTTTATTTTGAAAATATATATAAACCTCTCTTACAGTCAAAACATATGTTACATAAACCTCACTTGTATATTTAAGATTTTATTTTCATCTGCCCTAAATTGTTACTTAACTGTTAAGTTTGATTTAAATTATTTTTCTCTACAGAATTTAATAAATAGAGAAAACCCTAGTCACTTTTCTCAAGCATAATAAATAAACTTTTTTATTTAAAGTTCCAAACTTGCGTATTGTAATAAATTATAAGATGTATTAAATGGTTATATAATTTAAAAATAGGTAAAAACATTTGTATAAGAAGAGGACGTAAGATGTATTAATTTTCTACGATCAAACACTACGCGGGCATCAAGATTACTGAAAAAAAAAATCAAAAGTTAAATTCTAAAATGTAAAAAATTGAGTATTAAAAATATAAGAAAAAATCTTAATTAGACAAGAGTCCTAATTTAGGATTTCTGATATTGTTAAATGACCAGAATGTTTCTCTTTAATTAAAATAAAAAGTTGATTATTTTATCTTAATTACAGACCCCTCCCTTTTATTTTATCTTGATTACTGAAACCTTCTTTTTATTTTAAAAACATATATAAACCTCATTTACAGTTAAAACATACGTTATATAAACCTCCTTTGTATATTTAAGATTTTATTTTCATCCGTCCAAACCGTTAGTTGATCGTTAAGTTTGATTTTAAATTATTTTTTTCCCATAATGCAATAAATAGAAAAAACCCTAGTCACTTTTCTCAAGCATAATAAATACAAATTTCTTATTTAAAGTTCAAAACTTGTGTCTTGTAATAAATTATAAGATGCATTAAATGGTTATATAATTTTAAAGTAGGTAAAAACATTTGTATAAGAAGAGGTGGCAAGGTGTATTCAATTTTCTGCGGTCAAACACTGCACGGGCATCAAGATTACTGGAAAAAAAAAATCAAAATTTAAATTCTAAAATGTAAAAAAATGAGTATTAAAAATATAAGAAAAAAATCTTAATTAGACAAGAGCTCTAATTTAGGATTTCTGATATTGTTAAATGATTAGAATGTTTCTCTTTACTTAAAATAAAAAATTGATTATTTTATCTCAATTACATAAGCCTCTCTTTTATTTTATCTCAATTACAGAAACCTCCTTTTTATTTTGAAAATATATGTAAACCTCCCTTATAGTAAAAACATGTTACATAAATCTTCTTTATATGTTTAAGATTTTATTTTCATTCACTCAAACCGTTAGTTCACCGTTAAGTTTGATTTTAAATTATTTTTTGCACAAAATGCAATAAATAGAGAAAACCCTAGTCATTTTTCTCAAGCATAATAAATACAACTTTTTTATTTAAAGTTCAAAACATGTGTCTTGTAATAAATTAAAAGATGTATTAAATGGTTATATAATTTTAAATTAGGTAAAAACATTTGTATAAGAAGTGGTAATATGTATTGAATTTTCTGCGGTTTTCTGTGGTCAAACACTGCGCGGGCATTAAGATTACTAAAAAAAAAAAAAAATCAAAAGTTAAATTCTAAAATGTAAAAAATTGAGTATTAAAAATATAAGGAAAAAATCTTAATTGGACAAGAGTCCTAATTTAAGATTTCTGATTTTGTTAAATGACCAGAATGTTTCTCCTTAATTAAAATAAAAAATTAATTATTTTATCTCAATTTTAGACACCTTCCCTCTATTTTATCTCAATTACAGAAACTTTTCTTTTATTTAGAAAACATACATGAACCTCCTTTACAGTTAAAACATATATTACATAAATCTTCCTTGTATATTTAAGATTTTATTTCCATCCACCTAAACTATTAGTTGACCATTAAATTTGACTTTAAATTATTTTTTTTCCAAAATACCTATTTTTAACTTAATAATTATTTAGACATTTATATTTTCCAAAAATTGTATTCATAAAATTAAAAAATAATTATTTTTAAAATTTATAATACGTTATAAATTTTATTAATTTTGATCTAAATCATAATATTTTATAATTTTAATATTGTATCATATTAGTTAGAAATTATTTACTTTAATTTTTTTAAATTGTAAAAACTTATTTTAAATACATAGTTTTTGTTTATTGTGAAGTTTAAATGATATAAATTTAAAATATTTTATAAATTATTTAAATTTATAATTCTAAACTTTTAAACATATCTTTGTTATAAAAATTTATAAACATATTTAGTCAAGTATATAAATATTTATTAAAAAATTAGTTAAACTTTTTACTCTAATCTTTGATGTTTATCTTAACCGAAAGAAATAGATATAACTGTAGAAATAAAATTTAAAAATTTATTAGAATGAGAGATAAAATAGTAAATAAAATTTACTTTAATATAAAATTTATTTAAAAATAATATTTTAAGAATATTTTAAGAATATTCTTAATAGTATTAAATAATTGGATTAAACTGTATGTTTTTAAAATAGAGGAGAGATCTTTATAATTGATGCAAATTAGAAAGGTAATTAGAGTATTTTACTCAATTTTAAAATAGATAAAAACATTTGTAGAAGAAGAAGTGGTAGGATGTATTGAATTTTCGGCGGTCAAACATTGTGCCAGTATCAAGATTACTTGAAAAAAAAATCAAATATTAAATTCTAAAATGTAAAAAATTGAGTATTAAAAATATAAGAAAAAATCTTAATTTAACAAGATTGCTAATTTAGAATTTCTAGATATTGTTAAATGACCAGAATGTTTCTCTTTAATTAAAATAAAAAATTGATTATTTTATTTCTCTAAATAATCTTTTACCTCTTATGATTGTTTTTAGAACTAAAAAACAGATAAAAAATTTATAGTAGTTAAAATTTGTATATATAACTAAAATCTTCAAAAATATTTTAATAAAACATTTTAAATTTTAACATAAATAGACTTAAAATAAATATTTTTATTTTTTGTTTAAAATATTTATTTTAAGATCTTAAAATGTTTTAATTACGAAAAATATTTAATATTATGTTCTTATAATTTATGTTAGTTTTATTTATTTAAGCAAACATTGAATTCTAACTCAAAATTGTAATTTGTAACAATTTAATATAAAATATTTTTATGATGATGATATTTTTATATCTTAAAAATAAATATTTACAACTTGAAAATACAAAATATTTATTTAAAGGGTATTTATATTGTAATTTAAAATGTTTCATTAAAATATTTTTAAAGGTTTTGGTTATATATACATATTTTAAATATTTTAAAATTATTTATATGTTTTTCGGTCCAAAAAAATAATCATAAGAGAAAAGAGAAATCATTTGGGAGGGGTAAAACAATCAATTTTTTTTAGAATTAAAGAAGGGCATTCTGATCATTTAATAACATTAAAAAATTCTTAATAAAGTCTTGTGATCTAATTAGGAATTTATTAAAAATGTACACTTAAATTTGAATTTAGGTATTTTAATTAAATTTAATTGGGATTCTCTCAAAATATAAAAGATGGATGTTAAAAAAAGTGACTAAAAATCACTTTTATCTTTATTTTTCTTTTTTGCCCAAGTAATATGCCATGCGATGTGAGAAAGTCAACGCAGAAGGAGAGAGGAATGGCAAGTTCCTCAAAATTACCGCCGTAGATTTTAAAGAATTTGGATCGCATCGTCGCATCATATCGAACGGCTGAAATGTAACGCGGGCCTACTCATCAGGAAAGCGCTGTTCCATGGGGTAACTAGCAAGCGTTTCATCGCAGGTTAAGAGAACAAGAGGCCTGTCTTCTCAAACCAGATTGCAAGAAGCCCTAAAGCCAACAGAAGCAGAAGAAACACTGAACTCTGACCATGGCTCTCGCTTCTCGTCTCGTTAACAAATCCAAACTGGTGAGCGTTTGGCCTATTTCTCGTCTGAATTACTTTCGATCTTAATTTCGCTTTACATTTTCGAGTCATTCTCGGCGAAAAGTAAACAGAGAAATTGCTGTCATAAAGTGATTATTTTTCTCATTAAATGATCGGTGCAATATTCTGCATTTCATGTTTAATAAACTTCTGATCCTAATTGATTGGTTGTCGGGATCTGCATAGCTATGGAGTTCTGGATTTAGCTGAATGTAGCAAGGGTAACGCGGTTGTGTCTTCTAGTTACCAAGAATTTTTGGTGAAGCCATTTCTGGAATGCAAAATGACGATAGATGTCAGGATGAGGTGGTGGCTGGAAAAACTAGTTAATGGCAGCCTAAGAGCATTTGAAGCTCTATTCGATCACTGAAAAAAATGGTAAAAAGCGAGAGTTCTCTCTAGGTATTGACTAGCTTTAGCGATGGTTAAGAATATATATATATTGACATTTCAATGCCTTTATTCTGGGAGGGTGTTGGCCAATTTGTCTTATCCTTTCTAACATTTAAATGGCGTGCTTGGGTGGAGCTCGAAGAAGCATATAACTTAGTGACCCTATGATTCCTGATCATCTTCATCGCTGGAAATGCATTAAGGCTATCCTTCAAACCCCAAAAAGTTTTGGAGCTTAGTAATTACAGATCTTATTGAATAGAATATGTACAAATGAAAGAAATTGGTATGACTAGGGTATGTGTTCCGCTTAAAATTTCTTATAACTAATTATGAGAAAAGAACATTTTTCATTCCTTTGTTTTTACCCAATACCCATCTGACAATTGACGCTTGGCACACTGGTTGGTTTCTTAAGAATTTGTAAGGGATCGGTTTTCCTATGTGCACTTTCTGCTCATTTCTTTTGGCATGACGATAATTATGGCAATCTCGCTGATCAATTTTTTTTTTTTGGTTGGTAATGGGTCCATTTTTCTTCTCTTCTTATAGGTTTGTGCTAGTCAAATACTTGTACAAAAGGAGCACACCATCCTGGTCCGTCACTTTGCCAAAGATTCCGGTCCTCCTGCATTAAAGGGAGATCGTGAGTAATCTTGACTATACTTGTCTTATTTGTCCCTTTATCATAAATTTAGAGTCATCCCTAGTAAGTATATTTTGGGATCAGCATCCAAGCATATGCTGGTGCTGGTATGGGTCCCTAACTGACTCCATTTTCTGCAGCATAAATGATAAATCTTGCTGAATTGTGATCTGACTGTAATCATGTAATCTGCTCATTTATTTGATCCGGTAGTTTTAGTTAGCTTTCAATTGTACAGGTGCAATTTGAGTTAACTTTAGATAAAAAACGGTTATGCAGTCGGAGTGTGAAGTTTAATGAATTTTTTTTTGGGATATCATTTTCTGATATTGTACTTCTAATTGAATGCAAAAGAGATGTTGAAGAATGCCTTTTCGGAGGTGAAGACAAAATTTGAAGCAGCGATTGGAATATTAAGGAAAGAGAAGATCACTATTGATCCGGATGATCCAGCTGCAGTTTCTCATTACGCGAGGATCATGAGGACAATAAGGGAGAAGTGAGCTTCTGCTTTACCTTAATGTCTTTTTTTTTTTTTTTTTTTGAAATCTTGTTTCTATTCGCTCTTGCAGTAATCCTGTAAAATTTGTTGTCTTTTTTCTATGTTTGAACTATTTCATGGTTATAATCTCTTGTTTATTGTGCAGAGTAAGCGCGTTTACTGAAGCTCAACGTATCAGACACACAATTCAAACAGAAACACAAGATATTCCTGATGCTCGTACTTATCTTTTGACTTTGAAGGAAATAAGAATTAAGTATGTGATGGTCTATTCTTTAACCATTTCCATTATCTAACTTTGGTGTGCTTTTTCCTACTTAATTTGGTTTCTCTTTTTCCCTGAAAACCAAGATGCGTATGATTTTTGTGCTGTGTAAATGAAATTTTTCTGTTCAATATGCCCTTTTGAATCGGCAAACAACTCATTTTTTTAACCCTAAATCCTCTGCTTCCAAAGCTTGCTTTATTCCAATTTTTATTGTCCTCCTGAATATCTACAGTCGCTCTGTAAAAGTTGGCTATTTTTTGGAATTAATATCCACGTTAAACTTTGGGGTACACATGAATTTTTTTATGTAAATATATATTTATACTGATATATATTTCCGGGCACAAGGCCATGAGAAGCAAGTTCGTTCGCTTCACTATTTGCAGATTGTTCATTACGTTAGATCATTTGGTCATGTTAATATTCTTTTGCAGGAGCGGTATTAAAGATGATATGGGTGCAGAGGCCATGATGATGGAAGCATTGGACAAAGTTGAAAAGGATCTGAAGAAACCTCTGATGAGGGATGATAAGAAAGGAATGGGTCTTCTCATGGCTGAGTTCGAGAAGATGAACAAAAAGTGAGCGAGACCCCTATATTATTTTGATACTTTGGACTAATGATTAAAGTGACATCTAGATTCTTTGATGAGAAGGAAGATGTCTATCTGCTTAATCTAACTTATGACAATTTATCACATTGTTTAGTTAAGTTTTGTTTTGTTGTATTTTCGGCCATGTGGTTTGGATTTTGGGTAGCTAATTACTTGTTAGTTCAAATACTTCAAATACTGTTTAACTAGTTTTTTTTTTTGGGGGTGGTGGTGGTGGTTTGGTAACAGTTAAAAGCACTTAAAAAAAGTGCTTGCTTTCATGCAAGTTGAAGCAAAATTCTTCTCACATACTTACTTTATACATTATAGAATCATTTTTGAAAACCTAATTTAAACACCCTCATGTGATTGAGTGGCTAGGTTTCACTACTTTCCTTACCTTGTTCTTTCTTTTTTCCCCCAACCCCAAATTTGGGGGATGGCGATCACATAGACTTGGCATTCGGAAGGAAGATCTACCAAAGCATGAGGAGAAGCTAGAGCTCGATGTTGCCAAGGCACAACTAGTGGAGCTGAAGAAAGATGCTCTAGAGGCAATGGAGACTCAAAAGAAGAGGTAGTACTCTTGCAGTCTTGTTAATGCTGATTACAAATTTCACTATTTGTTTAGCTATTTATTTATTCCCTTGATGTCTCGGGGTGCAAATCACATGTATGATCTTATTGCCGCCTCATTTGGGGCTGGCATAATAGAATGATACCTTCTCTGGGCTTAATGGCTTCAATGATTTAAGAATTTGAAACATTTGAAATATGACATGGCCACTTGAGATGTTGGAGGGACTGAGGGACTCGCAATATGAATCCTGTTTTTCCATCCTAGACTCATTTTTAACTTGTCATGTTGCCATTCCAGGGAGGAATTCAAGGATGAGGAAGCGGTTGAAGCCAAAAACCTGGACATCAGAAACTTCCTCTAAGGCCTGTCTTTCTTTCTTCTGTTTACATAACTTGGATAATGATGAATGCATTCGCGTTTCTTCAATAAGTAGACACCAATTTGGGAGTGCAATGGCGGTTGAAGAGTTATTTAACATCTCTGCATCTTTAATATTTCAACTTCCCGGTGTTATGACTGGAAATTGGAGTTATCAACCTTGAAATTTTCCCCTTCAGTTTTATGGCTTTTTTTTGGTTCCCACTCTGTGGAGGCTGGATTCGAGCCCATGTACTGTATAAAGCTTCATTAAGTCCTGTCGTCCCATTCCATGATTAGGGCGAGTAATCTCATATGCTAACCCCATCGTCTGGAACTCTGGATTTTCTCAGAGACGGAGGATTAATCAAAGTCCATTGAATACGCATTCTTCTCAGTCACGCATCTTAATATTTTCCAAAAGAAAAATCAATAAAATAATGATTTTATTTTCCAGTCTAACGAGAGGCCAGAGATGTACCAAATTGACCAAGACTTTTTCGATTATTATTTTGCGTTTAGTATTATTTTCATTTTTTCTGCTTCTCATCATGTTTTATTCCTAAAGCGGGCCTTGAAGGTGAAGTTGGAGAATGGAGAGTATCGCAGGATTGGGAGTTATGTATAAAATTGAGATATCAAAGAATTGTGTATGAAATTTATATTTAATAATTTAGAATGAGCATTAATTTCTTAAAAATATTTTTAACCATTTCTTTTGAAATTGCAGTTCCCTCTGATCACTGAAGTGACTAACATGAATGATAGAAGGAAAATTATAGATTTTGAGTTGAGTTAATTTTTTTTTCCCCAAGTGTATGGCCCATTCGATCCTCTTGATGAACTTTTTCTAAGAAAAATCCTATGCCAACCTCCGCCACTGATCACCGTTCAGTACCTTTCTTCAACTGTGATTCGTTCAAGACCCTGTATCTTCTAGGGTGTCATCAACACTTAAATTTGCTTTACACTTTTTTTTTTTTGGGGACCTGAATGCTTCACACTTTTTTTTTTGACCAAGAGAATGCTTCACACTTTAATACTTATGAATAAAATTGCACCCATTTCAGACTGTAAAATAAAACTTAACCCTTCCCTTAAACTTATTACCACTAATAGACCATTTAATATATTAGAATTATCCAAAGAATATTCATGGGAGAATTTTTTTTGGTTGCCCAGGGTTCTAGAATATTCTCCTACTCGAACAATAAGAGATTTATCTGTGAGGGTACCGTCAAGAGTTGTAGTGGGATCCTCTTAACAGTATTTTTTTTATACACATCATCTTAAGAATCGGACCCATAATATAATATTTAAGGTGTTCAAATTTTTTCTACTTGCAACAAGACTTGTTGGTTCTTGGGAGCATTTATTTCCATATGACAATACCAGCGTTGAGTTTGGGCCTTTGGGGCATTAATAAGAAATTACGACGGTAGGATGCTTGGTTGCTCACCCCTGCCTCTCTTCACCTTCAACCCCGCAACCCCGCTTCACCTGGAGAATGGTGCTTTTGAAATATTGCCATAATGGTGGTGAGAGAAACATATGCAGAAAGGCAGTAACGGCAAAAGGGAGCTGGAGATGATATAGGGTATTTAGTTGGACGCTAATTTTTATGCTAATTTTCTTAAACCCTGAGCCCTGGTTTTCTCTGTGCTGTGTTATTTGTTGGAAACATGTACTCAATCGCCCCTTTCTCTCTCTTCCAAGCAGAACTGCTCGATTCTAAATTCCTCTTCAATGCCAATTGCCTCCGATATTCATTCCGACAGCGATGGGTTCATAGCCCCACCAAACCCACGCTAACTTCAATTCAACCTCTCGTATTTCGCAACTCCTTCAAATCCTCTCCTCTTTGCGCAGAGTTGGATTGTTCCTCTTCAGCATGCTCTATTACTTCTTTTCCTCGCTCTGTTCGAACAAGCCTATTCAAACTTTTGTCGGAGAAGCTTGTGTTTTTTCTTGTTGGGTCGTTTATCTTAATCGGGTGCTTTAACAGAAGAGTGGCTTTAGCACTGCCCTCTGTCACTTCAGGCGTAGCTCTGGAGGAGGGTAGTGACGCCTTGAAAGAGAAAAGTGAGGACGAGGAAATGTACGAGAAGATTCTGGAGAAGGACCCGCGAAATGTTGAGGCTCTGAAGGTGATTTTGTTTAAGAAAATAAGGATGGGGAAGTCGAAGGAGGCTGTGAAGTACGTCGGGAGTTTGATTGATGCAGAGCCGAACGAGGTTGAGTGGCGGCTTTTGCTGGCATTTTGTTACGAGACAATGGGGCAATTGAGTACGGCTAAAAGATTGTTCAAGGAAATCTTGGAGCAGAGGCCTCTCTTGATCAGAGCTCTGCATGTAAGATTTGTCACCCTCTTTTGAATATTATTGAAAATTTTCGACAATTTTCCAAGCTGAAAGGTACAAAATTTTCGTTTTAGCCGTCATTTATATGCTAACACTCATACATATCTTTGAACACAATGGAATTGATGAGTTTTTGGAAATATAACCATATTAGATTTTTAGATTTTAGTTTGAATGTTGGTTGTTATTACATTACTAGCCCTTGGTGAAATTAAAAGTTTAAAAGGTGATTGTATTTCTCTTACTTATTGTGAGAAGTGCACCTGAGTCTTTCTTCACCTTGTAGATGATTGGTCTTCAACCAATATAGCACAAAGGCTATCAGTTCATGCAGAACTTGCAGTTCAGTGATTAGATATTTTGAATCTAGATAGTTAGATGTTTCTTGGATGGCATTTTTAACATCCGCATATTTATGTCTCATATCTTCATACTTGATTTCTTGTTATGGTTAAAACAAGTGGTACTTGTTAATTTTTCACAGGGTTTGGCTATTGTGATGCACAAAAAACATGAAGGTCCGGCTGTCTTTGAAATGCTGAATGAGGCTTTAGAATCAGCATGCCGTGAAAAAAGAGTTACAGAAGAGAGAAATATAAGAATCTTAATAGCACAAATGCATGTTGTGAAGGTGAACTTTTATTTATAGCAGTTATTTGATTTTTCAAGTCCTCAGCTGGTAGCGGGGCTGTTTTGATTATGTTCAATATTAGGAAATAAATCTCTTTTCCTGGCACCAAAATACAATCATGCACAGACTTTAACTACATCTTTTAGAGTAATGGTTTAATAAAAATACTATTTGTATGCTCTGCAGGGGGATTTGGAGGAGGGTTTAAAAAGGTTTCAAGAATTGGTTGATGAAGATCCTCGGGATTTCAGGCCTTATCTTTGTCAGGTGAGTTTGTCCGACAAAGTTTGTCTTGGCACGCAGGTTTTCTTTCTGTTGTCAGTTGATCTGGTTCAAATGCGGAAGGAATTTGTATGGATAATTCAAGAGCATATACGAAAAATATTAAACTATCCTAAAAGCAATTGTGTTCTTTACGTCCAGTTTACTGGTTGGCAGTCCAATTCTTTTCCAGTCCAATGCAAAGCCTATGAGAGGATAAGATTGTCATGCCCAAGATTTTAAACTCCTTATCTTGTGTTCAAACTGAAACCCGTTTAAACACGTTCTCTATGTGTCTGTTTATAGCTGTGATGGGTATGCATTCCATGGGCTAATTAGTCTGTTCAGGCTGTCTAAACAATTGCTAACGACCAGCTGATTTTTCATTCATTTGGTAGTATCTAGCTTCATTCACCTTTGGGTTTAGTAGTACAAACTACGAGTATTAAAAAGTAGAAAGAATTACAGTAAGGTCCTAAGTAAGGAAAATAATTACTAAAAAGTCCTACCAATAATTTAAGTAGCTTGTAATAACAAGTTCTAGATTAGAAAATAACAACTTTGTTTTATAATTATTTTTCTTTCTTAGGACCTCATTATAATTCTCCCTAAAAAAGGTTTTTTTTTTTTAAATTTTTTTATTAGTAGTTAAAATGTTGTTCAAATCTCAGGCATCTCTTTTTCCGACTTGTGTGGAGGGCTCTTTTTTTTTTTTTTTTAAATTATTATTATTATTTGAATTTTGCTTGAAAAGAACATCATATTAATAATTGCACTGGATTTGATACCATGTAAAAGATGCAGACTTGTAAGGATAACTAGCTAGAGAAAGATCTAAGTGAAGGGTTGAGTTTCACAGGACTGGTTCATCGATGTGAATTTTTAGTTTTATATGGCCAACAGGGAATGTCAATCAAAATCGACTTATTGTGAATTGCGGTTGACATGCTTCTTGGATAAGAATGATCCTTGGGGCTTTAAGGGTTCTAGGATGTTTTTCCTTTTTGTATGCGTCTGAAACCTGTCAGTTCATTCTGCATTGAACCTTGTTTTTCACATTCTTTTTCAGTATTTACTGGTTGATTTTCTTATCCCAGTGGTTAGACCTACCTCTTTTTAACTTTGATAACTTTGTCAAACCATTGGAACCATGAAAGGAAAAATTACTCCTGACTAACATTTATAGCTTAGGATCTCGGGCAGGTCAATCCTCAACATATTGTTTAAGCTTTCATGACTTGACAGCGAAGGCTGATTCTTGCCTGCCAAATTTTCATTATTATATTAGATCTCTGCATGAAGTGAGAGTAGAGTTGTGCTTTCTAGTGTTTCATGTGTTAAGGGCTCTTGCACCGAGTTGTGTTAAATATGAGATCTATACTATTCCTGCACCTAATAACTCATCTTGTAGTCTGAATTTGGTTCTTGTAACAAACACTCCAGTAAAATGGCATTATGTTATTAGCTGGGGAATGTCTACTTTTTTCGGTTATGGAGTTTTAGCGCGATCAAAATATAAGTGACAAGAATTAAGTCTGCGGTAATGACCAAATAGACGAATAATTGTGGCAGGGCATTATATACAGTCTGCTGGATAAAAAGGAGGAAGCTGCACAACAGTTCGAGATATATCAAGCCCTCTTGCCCGAGGAGTTTCCGCAGAGAGGATTTCTTGATGATGTCGTCTTAACAGCGAAAGGAACATCCAGAGATCAGTTTCAGAGGGAATTTGAAGCTCAATATTCTCATAGGAAGTAGAGATCAGCATCCTTATGTTCTTTGTTGAATTTTGGTGGTCTCAATGCAGTGAGGCAGAAGTTTGAAAAATGAGCGTTTCAGTCACTTCTATGATGTATGAGAGAGAGAGAGAGAGAGAGAGAGAGAGAGAGAGAGAGAGATAGAAGGAGAGAGGTGGGCTCATCTATGTTCATGCGCGTTGGATTTGGTATGGCTCAAGTCTCATGAGCGAATTCAAACGGTTCTCAGATACAAGTCTTCTTTGGCTTATCTCTTCATGGCTGCATGGCTGGACTAAAACCCTGTATTGTAACATGTCTGAGAACAATTCCTGTTTACCTTTTTCTGTAATCCTATTTTCTTATTTTTCAAAATTCTATGTGCTGCATTTTTGTCAAGTATGGTGGTTAGGTACTGTTTCAGTCCTATAATGGAGAAGTAAGTGCTGGCTTAATTTACTAACTGCTATCAGTTTACTGTTATCATGTCTTGTCTAAACTTCTTCTATGAAGGCATTCGGAGGCACGCGGGCGTTGGCAATTTTGGTGGCAACGGCCTTCGACGGTTGTCTTTTTCATTTTTTTAAATTAAAAGTTGTGAAACGAAATGGTTTTCCACATCAATTCTTGTGAAATGAAATAGAATCAAATATACAATTTATTTATTAAAATATGTTTGTCTCTCATATTAATTCTTTCTCTAACATGAAATCAAAGAAATAAATCTCGCCTTGTAAGTAATGAGTTAGAATGCAATCCTTAAAAGATTAATTAATATGGAATATGAATAGACGAGAGATATAAATTGGGGTAAATTACGATAATATTTTTGTTTTCCTAATTTGTCTTCTAAATTTCTACAGATGATTTTCTACTGATAATTAATATGTTACTCCTCCGGTCCTTATTATAAGACTCCATTTGACTTTTTATTTGGTCCTAATTATAAGACCCCAATCCATTTTATCTCTTATATTTATGCATTTTTTTTCAAGATAATCCTTCTAATAATGATAGTTTTAGCCAATATACTTAATTAGCAAGGATTTTAGGAATGACAACACTTATTTATTATAAATAACCAACTTAACTTACTTCCTTAATCTCCTCAAATAAGTCAATTGGGTCTTATAATTAGGACCGGAGGAGTATTTTGTTAACGGATGACATTCATTAAAATTATTTGCTCAAATTAAAATATAAAATGATGTACATATAATTTAAAATCTAAAATGTTATATACACAAAAAATAAATTTGTAGAGAAGTTTCCTTAAAGCATATCCTCATTTTGGTAAGTTTCAAAATTTAACCGACATACATTTTTATATTATACTCCTCCGGTCCTAATTATAAGACCTAATTGACTTATTTGAGGAGATTAAGGAAGTAAGTTAAGTTGGTTATTTATAATAAATAAGTGTTGTTATTCCTAAAATATCCTTGCTAATTAAGTATATTGGCTAAAACTATCATTATTAGAAGGATTATCTTGGAAAAAAATGCATAAATATAAGAGAGAAAATGGATTGGGTCTTATAATTAGGACCAAATAAAAAGTTAAATTGGGTCTTATAATAAGGATCGGAGGAGTAGTCCTCTATTAAAAAAATTTTTTAAAAAAAAAAGCAAAAGGAGCTTCTACTTATTTAAGGAGCAAGGGGAAGGGTATAAAAGGCTCTACCCCCTGTAGCATCGCCAATTACCGTTTGAAGAAGGTGCTGTTTTCATGTCTCTGGAAGTTCCACGACTTCTCGCGCCCTTTCATGGCATCGGTTTCCATCAAAACCCTACTTCTCGCTTCTCCTTAATCTCATCCCCTCATCCTTCTCCCCATGGAGCCTCAAAATTTTCTCGCTCATTCTCTGTTCATCCGCCTACACCCTTTCCTCGTCTGTCTCCGGCCTTACTGGCGGTTTCGACGGCAAATAAGGCGGTGACGGCTGAGCCTCCTCCTGAACCTCCAGTGAAGATGATTGCTCTGGTGGGTGAAGGAGCTGTGAGTCCTCTGAATTCTGCATCCTGGGAGGAAGTCATGCTTCACACTGTTAAGTAGCCTCGGTTTTGGCCTGAAATTCTTTTACTCTTATTCGTCTTCTTTTGTTGTTTTTGTTCACCTGAATGCATGATATCTATTTGCTTATGTGCAGAAAATTGACTGATGCTAAAAATGTTCAAATTGCGAAAAGTATTACTGCTGTATATGAGTGTATATATTGATCAATAATTTCTTGAGTCCTGACCAATAAGTTCATATCTACGATGGAGAAGATGTTGAATTGGGAAAAAGAAAGAAAGAAAGAAAGAAAGAATAACTGATGATCTCGGCTTCAGCTAGAATGTGTTTCAGATCTTAATGAATGAAATATCTAATTTCCCTCGCACGGATAATTTTGCAGCACATGTAGTATGTTTATAAAGGTATTTTTGTCATATAAATAGTTGGATTAATTTTATTAGGTCGGATCAGGACCACTAACTGACCTTTCTTATCATAGCAGGCAAAAAGATTAAAATGGGTTGACGACGGGTATGAACTTCTTGTGTTTACTGATGAATGCATTCGATCGAATTCTGATGGAGATCAGACCATGAGACTCAAGAGGGAATTACTTCAAACTGATATATTGGCGATTGTTTCTGTTGCAAATAAAGAGTCAATTCAGTGGATTAAGATAAATAGCAAAGATATCCCAAACGTAATATGCTTTGACTCTTCACCAGATATAGAGAACAAATTAGGAGGCTGTTATATTCATAATGATGTTAAAGGAAGTATATTTGGCAAAATGGTTGGAAATTCTCAATTAGATAAAACAGGAGAGTCATCTAGAGTGGTGCAGACTGTATCTGAAGCATGGGATAGACATAATTCTGATGATATAAGGTTCTGTTTGTTGGTAATCATCAATGCTTACATAAAGCCGGTTCCAATATTGAAGAACTTGAGAGCAAAGGGTTTTTCTACCTTGAACTGCATGGTAAAGAATTGTGGTCGGGAGATACTTAACTGCTTGTTGGATCCCAATTGTAGAAAAGCTCTTCAATGCTTAAATAAATGCAGTCCTGTAGACCAAGTATGTAATTATCGTTGTATTGCTTCATATGAAAGTCCCACTCTAGAGGCATTTTCACTTTGTGTATTACAGAAAAACAACTGTCTAGAGTTGGATGCAAAAATCCCTGACAAACCTCATGTGCCTCCAATGGTTGAATTTCGGGGTAAGAGCTTATGTCACGACATATCTGAGGATCTATTTGTTGGTTGGTTGGGGAATTTGGAATGGAGTTGGCGTGTTATAGCGGGGCAAAACCCAGCATATGATCAATTCCCATGCCAGTACCAGCTATTCTACAGGGGAAAGGCAAAAGGATCATTCTGGTATGAACCAGTTTTCCAGGTGAGAACATTAGAGGGTCAGTTGGTTTGGAGGCGGCGAAAATATAGGGTTAAAAGAGGCAAGATACCTGGGACATTCTATTTCAGTGTATTGGATAATGGAGTTGTGTCAAATGAGTTTTGGACAATAGTGGATGTAGCTGATGATCTTAGTTGGGGTCTGTTCCATTATCATGGGGCTGCTCGAGTTGCAGGGCAATCTTATACAGGGGCAGTTCTTGTTAGTCCAGATGGTGCATATCCACATGACACAGCGAGGGAAAGAATAGTTGTTGCATTAGAAAAATGTGGAATTAAAGAGTGGGAGCTTTTCTTCGTTGACAATTGTTCATGCATAGATCCTCCCTTGGGAATTCCAGAGGGTTCAAGATTACATTCTATAATCTCAATTAGGGATCCAAATTCGGTTCCCGTCTAGTGATATAATTTTGTCGAGACTTTGACATGATTGATTAATATTCTCATCCTTCTCTTCCCTAGGAGTTGCATACTTAGTTATAATCTTATAATTAAGTGGGGCCATTTGCCGAATAATGTAGATATCAGACGATCCATAGATTCGAAGAATTGCTCTAAGCTCAGAACGAGCGGCTCAATTAGAAGGCTAATATCAAAATGAGACGCTCGGAATTGGGAATAACCCGCGGGTAAAGCAACAATACTTGTCCTCTTAGTAGACACGAAGCTGATAATGTCATTGATGATCATATCTCGTGTACTTAAACAAATGTGACGAGGAAGGTTATTGGAATATGATTTATCTTATATGAGCAATAATAGCAATATGGGGCAACATGTCGGCTTCAAATCCTTTTCATTTGTAGGCTTTCAACAACGTTTATAGCGACGGTAGTCATAACAATAGTCTCGCAGACCACTATAGATATATGAATTAACTTAAGCTCAACACTAGTTTTGCAGTCACGTGCCGATTGCTAAAAGAAATACAATACAAAAAAAAAAAAAAAATCAAAATTTGGATCTCTGAGGGGTCGCATCAAAATTTCAATACCAACTACGCCTTAATATTGGTCAATTTCCCAGTACAACGAACAAAAAGACACAAGACATCAGCTCTTGAAATAAACAAATGATTCCTCTCTACCCTGAAGACCAAAACGGGCAAATCCAATCCATTATCTGATGCCTCCTGGTATCATTTTCCTCCGTTTTTGCAGGGAAAGTATCAAAAATTATCAGTGAGATCTATATTTGGATCAAAAAGTTCGGTGTTCCGTGCCATTAATCCTGTAATCATATGGTTTTGGCTCCATCTCATATTCAAGTTCTTTTTCTTTTGCTAGATTTGTCATGCCTATCTTTACTCCGTCTCTTGTCACTCTTATGACTCCCCTTTTCCTTTTCAGGCTTTATGTCACTCCTGCTGGATTTTACACTAATTAGCCCACCTGTGGGTAATTTTCCATCATTATTTTGCAAAGCATTCTCAAGATCAGCTTCCTCGTCTGCAATAGCATAACGTTGGAGTAATTCAGGAGTGAAGATTGCTTCTGATTTTGACTTCATGTCGTCCTATAAAAGTAATCATGCAAAGTTAGAGCTACTTGGAAACAAAGATGGGTGTTAAAATCTTAGACTGGGAGAAAAAGAGTGTGAAGGAATCTACCTCGACTTGTTTAGCTGCATTGTTAAGATCTTCGTCGACAGAAACACTATGGGGTTCCATGACAATCTAAGGACAAAGATAAAAAAAAATCTTCCGTTAAAAAGAGAGGTGCAAATAAGTATAAATGCACATGGACATGAAACGGGGATCAAGACAACTGTAGAAACAAGTACAAATGCAGGGAAGGCACTCATCAAAACCTTGCCACCTGTGCCAGCTAAAAGCATCATCCCATGTAAAGTCATGCTATATATGTTTTTTCCCCCTTAAATAGAAGTCTTGCTATAGTTGTATCAACAACAATAGTAGACATTATTCCTTTAAATAAAATCAGCTACATAGATCACACGATATTATTATGCTCCATACCAAATGCTATAGTATACCCACTATCAGTTAACTTACTTCTTTCAGTCGTGGCAACGTTGACTCGACCTCCTTGGATTCAAGGCCGTGTAGATATTTGTACAACTTCTTCATAACTTTTATGAAGAGAGACAATATTTGTTGTCTTTCCAACTTCGTTTGTGCCTGTAAGAGAACACAATTTTATCTTTAAATGTTTGATTAGTAGATGAAACTGCTTTAATATCACTCGAGACTATGAATTTCTAACACAGACCAAATCAAGCAATGAGTTACAGAGTGACTCATTTACTCCAACTATATAGCTGTAAGTCATGGTAACTGACCAAAACTTCAGACTCAGGAAAATCTAGAACTCTTCTAGATCATATCTGGCAGTAGGATTCAGAAATCAGTAGGTTGAGAAACACACCTCAATGTACGAAATGTTCTGATTCTGTAGACCAATGCAGAGTAACACAGAAGCCTGAACATATGACAATGTGACCGGAAGCTTTTCTTGGAAGTAGAGATGTGCAAGGATAGGAACAAAATCTAAGATCTGTAAGAGGAAGATGAGATTACACTTGGAGCCATTTCATATCGCATAACAAAATCAGATATTCAGATTTATGCCATAATAAGGACCTTAAATTGAGAGTCATTACAACCTCAGCAGTATTTTACGGGTGCATTACATTTGCGTTAACATTGAGGCCTCCACTGTGAATCAGTTCAAGAACCAACTGGAATTGCAAGTGGAATCCCAACACCCCCCCCCCCCCAAAAAAAAAAAAATCCCAATACAATTTTTACATATTGAAGCAAAATCAAGTAGAAAAAAAGAATCAGTCAACTGGCCTTGAACCAAACAAATCTTTCATGTAAGCTACAATTTTTGGTACAAGGCTGGTGCTTTTTATAAGTTACTCGTTGTACTTAATTTAATTCACTTTTTTCATTTTCACCCCCAAATTAATTACGTCTCTCTCATCTATTTTCCCCGCTCATTCTCCCTCCCTCTCATCCTCTCCTTTAAATAAGGGCATATTTTGGGGGGAAAAAAGAAAAAGGAAAAAAATTTCTTACACATTTTATGGTTTTAACCAACTTTAATGAACTTTTTAATCTACATAACTCGGTTATTTGTAACTTATACATGGGACCAGAGGGAGCATATGAATAACCATGCTGAACTAAGTTATAGTTTAGCCTGCGTATTTGCTAATGTCAAAAAATTATTAAGCAATGTCAATCATCCACAATTGGAGATCTTACCAGATGAAAGTCAGCAAGATTGTCAACATAAGCCTCTAGACGCTTCATATCATGTGGTGATAAATATTCTCTAACTGGCCCCAAAGACTTTCCAGAGTTTTTCGCAGTTTCTAACTCCATGAAATTGATTTTTGGATCCAAGACACTGAAAAATTACCACTTCCATGAGAAAAACAACACGAGAAGGGAAAACAATCAAACAAACATTGAACCGGGGAACAATTTCAACGTATGATACTAGGATACTAAGACCCGGTAACCCCCACCTTTTGGGAGAAACTCAGGCTACCACTAGAAAGCCAAAACTCGGGTTAAACAGAATAATATCCAAATTGCACTTCTTTAAAAAAAATAAAAATGATCAAATGTCAGTTCATAAAAATCAATACCCAAAAAAAAACCATTTCCTTTCTTCACACAATACACAATACTATTAAAAAACCAGGCCATGAAATGTTAGCCAAGAAAGTGGAAAAAAGATCTTGTCCGTTAATAAATCTGACACAACAAAAATTGTACCAGGATGTGACAGTTCAGGTACTATAAAGCATCAACGTCCATGTTAAATTCAAGCACTGAATAATCAAATATGTAAATTCTAACCTCATAGCAAGCTTGTATTCCATTTCACGGAAAGTGGAAGCCAGAAGTCTAGCAAATCTTTGTCTAAAATCTACAAATTATTAAGACTTAAGAGAATCATCAGTAAAAACAGAACGCATCACAAATATTGAATACACCATAAAATCAAAGTAAAGTGAACCCACCTTGGTAAAACGGACCAAAAAAGCCCCATTGATCGGATCCATCAGCATCAATTTCATCATTGTTCAAAGGTTTTAGGATCATACATGTATGCTCACCAGTCACGGTATTCTATTCAGTTGGGGAAAAATATCAGTCAGTCAGTTTAAGAATAAATATGCAGTACCATAGTCCATTGTTGAAGAAGAAATGAATAAATTAATCTTAACTGGAATCTGGCCAATGTAGAAGGGAGCAAATTTATGCTTCCTCCAAAAGCGAAAAAGGTCTAAAGTTAGCCCAAAGGAGACACCAATATAATGGAGTTTCTCTGGGCGTCGTTCACGTAGATGTACAAGCAGATGTGGAAGATCTGTTCTAGGTCTTATATTTTCTTCAAGCAGAGAAACCTGTAATCATATTAGCATCAGGAAAAGCAAATTGAAAAAACATGTAATTTAAAGATAAAAGGTTGAACCTCAAATTACCTAGCGATATAAATACATAAGAGCATTATACTTAACTCTTCAGAAATATATCAAGTAATCCAAAACTATCCAGAAAATAACTATTGTAACAGACCTTCTCAGCAGCTTCCGTAACTCTGACTCGGGGAGCCTCCACTGCATCTTCAACATCCATCTCAGAGATAGGAGTAAGTTGTCCTTCATAATAACTGCAGACAATACTAGATGTCAATGCTTTGAGTCCACTTCATACTTATAAAGAGAAGGTGTTGCAAATATCATCAAACTGGAGGATCCTACTGCACTGGAAGCAAAGAAACAGCCATGCCCTCACCGTATTAAAAGCTCGACTGCTTGTGAACCATATCCAAGCTGCAATAAATGAAAATGTGTAAGAGTTAGAGGATGAGGATAAAATACAATGGAAGAATTTGGTTAAACAGGACAATTAGCTAGATTGCCATAATACAAAAATTACCCTCATAGCACTTGGGTGGGTAGCAATGCGCACAATGCGAACCCCAGAAAGCGAGGGAAAAACTGTGTCTCGAAATTGCTCACAGAATTTCCAAGGTATTTGGTCTCCAAAAGGTTGATGGCCATCACTCAAACTTCTGATTGCTGACTGACGAGATATCTGCCCTTCAAGGCAGACCTGTCACAAAAAGGGGAAAAGGATAATAAGCATAAGCATAAGCATAAAGACAACCAATCATGGACATAAAGTTAACACCAAGCAAAACTATAACAAGCAAAGGAAATTCCACGTGCTGACACCACTTAAGTACTTTATAAGTTCATGCAATTATCAGTTTTGTGAGGAAAGATAAAGTGCAGGGACATAGCTTGCAGATAATAAGAATACAGCAGTTGCACAAATCTTGTCTAGATAATTGATAAGCACCCTTCGCCAAGGATGAATCAAATGCTTCTAGCATTTTAAATAATGGATACATTCTAGTCCTCACATAAATACTGCATCATTAATCCAGCATCACAGAAATGAAATGTCATGTAATGGTTATGTTTGTTCTGCTACATTTAAAAACTAACGCTGCATTTATTTTCTGCTAGCATAACAAGGTAATGAGTAAAACTAACAGTGAAAATTTGTTAGCAAATAACTTAAGGTAGAAACTCCGAATGATTGCATTTTTATGCTTGGTAAACCTTGGACTTCGGTCGTCCAAGTAATTTGGATTTTGGAGTAGCTTCTTCTCGTCAAGTTCGGAGATTTGAGCAAGAGCAAGAATGGACTTAGAGAGAAATGATCTGAATGGACTTCATGAGGAACAAGACAGTGTTTATGGCCTCTTTAGGCTTTTGCAAACCATTCTTTTCAAGTGAAATACGAAAAGAGATAGAAGATCTATTATGTACTAATGTTTCTATTATTTGTCACTATCAAGATTATCTTGTCCTCTTCTTTATTCCTTCTCTCCTCTTAATTAAATTTCTTTTGTACGTTAAAAAAATGAAAAGACAAGAAGGAGAACATAAGATTGAATATGTTAGATTTTGTCAGAACAGAGACAGTAAACCAAGCAAAAAGAGCCAAAGATGCAAACCTGGATGACGCACAAGATATCAGGAAGTTGATTCCTTGCCTCATCAACAGGACCTATTATACAAATCCGTTAGAAGTCCAGCACAACTGCACAAGTCATGCATATATAAACAGAGAAACTAAAGCAATGATAGTTAGGAGTAAAGTTGGGAATGTGGAAAATGCTAGTGTCCCCAAGAACTATGGTGAAATAAATTTCCATTTTCTACCCCTCCGTATTACAGACACCAGTTTTCAATTCTACCAATAATAGTCCAAGAAAGACTAACGTGAACCTAAAATCCAGTATACCAAGGAGAACAAATAAGTGGTGTGCTGGAGCATCAGCCATCAGTTGCAGATCATTTGGAGAATTCTTGTAATGAGAGGCAACATATAAGGCCATCATTCGCTGCAAGATGCAAATACTTTTTAGTGCATCATATAAATAATAAGCTTACAAACATCAATGGTATTGCTTTACCTGCAGAAACAATTCACTATCTCTATGATAGGAGAAAAGGGTATCCCGATTAACATAGTATAGGTCACATTCACTGGGAGGAGGTAATCTGAACACAGAAAAAAGAGCCTAAAGTGAGAATTTAAAAAAAAAAAAAAAAAAGTTATCTTCTTACAAAGGCACCATGGGGGGAAAAGCTTGGGATAACCTGCTAAGATTAGGGATAGAATTTGCAACATCTAGGCAAAGCAAAGCATTGAGCCAACTTTCAATTTGATCCCCAGAACCATATCTGATTGATTCACTAAGTTCTATCTTCTTCAACAGACGACCTGAACGAAAGCATTCAAAATTTAATACAAATCTCAAACATTATATAAACACATCTACACAGGGACCTCAAAAGAGCTGCATGCTATGGTCAACTGAATCATCGAAATCCAAAAGTCCTTAGTGTCACAATAATCCACTTTGATTGTCTTTCCTTCTTGAACAGCACATGACATGCATATTGCTTATATAAATTGACTTCTAAAAAGCCAAGAGCATAAGTACCAGAAGCAGGGCCTTCTGCATTCTTAGATAACGCATGACTTTGCTCTTCCAATTGCTGCACAAGTTTTAGCGATAACGAGCGTCCTGTACCTTCATAACTTTCCATGGGTTTGTTTTAAAAAAAGGGGGGGGGGGGAGAAGCTTGTCAGTAATTAAACCACATCAAGAGCAAATTATAAAACTATTGAGACACATCAAACTTTATTTTTAAAAGGCAAGAAAAATTAACAATTAACAATTCAAAAAAATAGACAAAATATTTGTTAACGACTTTAAGAATTGAGCAAAGGCATATACCCATTCACAGTAGATGACAGAAAGACCAAATATGGACCAAGCAAAGACTTCACAACAGGCAGTGGAATAGCAGCTGCTTCATCAACAACCAACAGCTCAACTTGAGAAAGCTTTGCATGCTCATGTGGAAGTATGTACTGCAAGAAATTAAGGAAATACTTTTTCAAGTGCCCTCAATAGAACAAGAAGTTTCTTATTAACACATCAAAGGCTTTTTATGTATTCATGTAGGAATGTTAGAAATGAGTTTACCTGGATTGTCTGTCTATGCTGCTTGTAAATATTGATCCTTACAGTAGCTTTCTTAAACTCTGGATTTGTACTTTTCACCACATCATAATCAAGATGTTCCTGTTCACATAATAATTAGTACTTACAACGTACTCCACTCAATAGACAAACAGAGAACAGAATGAAAATGGTGTGGAAACTTGAAGGCTTAACTAGTATTCTCATTGATATATACAGAAAACAGAGGAGTGCAAGAGAGAATGGGAGACAAAACCGACATATATGGAAAAGATTATGCAGCTACTTTAGAGAATCAATTCGAATACTATAAAGAGCTTTCAGAAATATTAAGTGAAAGAAGGCTTCATCAAGACTTCATTCAAATATGAATGAAACCTTCAGTCAGTATCTGATTGATGAAGACGTACAGCAAACACCAATAAGATGAGATTAGTTTAGTAGATTTATTTACCGAAGACATGGGGCATTATCATAGCAAAATATCACATTAGATACGCTAAGGATGTGGATATCAAACGTAATCTTCAAATTAGATCCCCATGTATAAAATGAAATATAATAGGTTTATATGAGATGTCCCTGCTGCTCACATTTTCCCCAAAACGAGAGGGAAAAAAAGTAGAGGAAGCTAAACTACAACACTGGCAATAAGCCATGATTTTTCAATTGACTAAACCATATGCTTAAAGAGATTACCAAAAGCATTACCAACAACTCCCACCCGTTAAAAAAACAAACTGCCCATTTCCCCTTCCCAGAACATTTGCAACTAAAAGCATCTAGTGATGAAGCAACAATGAAAATAATTCGATGATGGGAAAGAATGAGTACCTTATATTCAAGTGCTTGAAAACCTTTGCAAACAAATTCAAATAAAGTTTTCAAGTTCTCAGGGCTGGGTGCAGTCACAAAGATATTTGAATAACTACACAGAAAAAATATACAGAATCAAATAAGAAATACTATTACAGAGAAGAGGGAAGAAGTACAACCATGGGGAATGATGAGATATCCTTCAAATAAAAATTAAAAAAAAAGGAAAAAGAAAGCAGAATAGATAGCATAAGAGACTCAAGCTAGTTTATCTCTGCAGATCACATAGATTCCCTCAAAACATCATTGATAATTTTCATATGATATCCAAACATGATTAGGGAGCTATCAGATATATCTTAAATGGATATATATATATATATATATTTGCACATCTGAAAGCATATAAAGCACATTACCCCACAGCAATAGCTCCAGCAATTGCTAAACCAAGGGCGGCTGATTTCCCACGGCCACGAGCAGCCAACAAGGCAACAGTACTACGAAGTGTCTTATCTAAAATTGCATCCAGAAAAGTGATGACTGCCTTTCCCTATTCAGTTAACCAGGAAAAAAAAAACTCAGCACGCACATCTAGTGCATAGAGGGCTCAGATTGATCAGCCACAGGAGAACATGAAATCTGTGGTAGACAAAATCCTACCTGATCCAGTGTGCAGCATTTCCTAATCAATGGACCAACTGGGAAATCTTCATTTAGTTGTTCTTTCAGGTTTTTTAGATCCTGTTCTGATTCTGAGAGTCCCTCAGAGTCCTACAACATAAGACACAGAATAAGAAGTATCTACCACCAGCTTCGCATCCTTAGCTGCATAAAAGGGGTAAGGGAGAAGAAACAAAATCCAATACATCTCTGGATGACAATTTTTGATAATATGTTCAACAAACAATGTAATACTAATGAACTACAATCAGTTAGATTGGCATTTCTTCAAATACGAAGATGAATTATCTGAAAAGTAAATAAAAACATATATGCAAAGCTGTGCTGAAAATAGACACAGAAATATAACAATAGGTCCATGAATAAGGGTGTTTGGTTTCTAAATGGTAAAAGCACATTTGCCAAACTGACTTTTAAAACAGAAAAAGTAGATTCTACTTGCATTTCCAAACTGACTTTTCCATGGCTTTTAGATTTTGTGGATGGGCTTTCAAAAAATAAAAAGTTTTTCCACCCAAACAATCTTTCAGAGAACTTACATTCTGGGGGTGTTGGATGTAGTATCCAAACCCCCTCCCCCCGGAATATGCATCTAAGACGAACAATGAGAGGTTGTGTATACAATTTAGAACTTGAGGCAAATAACAAAGGCAAGTACAAGTAGGGAGATATAGAAGGAAAAGGGAAGGAGAGGATGCTAGATAGACAAGAGCATCTATAATCCCTTAACCCTAATTATTGACGGCTTTATATAGAGCCCAAAAGAAAAGTTAATTCAAAATAAAAAGATAGCTAGTAAAAGGATCACATAAGCATAGCAAAGAGATAATTGAAGCCTAACAAAAAGATAATTCAATTCAAAATAGAACCAATTAAATAATTGAAGACTTCTATGTTCATCCTCAGTTCCTAATTATCATATAATTACCATTATCTCCTCTAATGTTCTGTTTCCATTCTTCATATGTATAACAATGAAAGACCAAGTGTGAAAATTAGGCTGCATCCATATCTTAGCATTCAAAGTCATTTAATGTTGTAGAAAGCACAACAAAAGAAGCATCTTCCCATTATGCACCTGAGGGAGGAAAGAGAACTATTCACATCGTATATTTTTTAAAAGACTAACCAAGATAATCATACATTTAACTAAGAATCCAACCTACCAAAAAAAAAGAAAAAGAAGAAGAAGAAGAAATATCTTATATCTCTTGTACTTCTCAATAACTTACAGATAAAAGTAACAAAAAGGCCTTTCCAAATACATATACTGATAAACATCAGAATGACATCAACAACAATAACCCTGGCCACCCACCCCAACTCTCAAGAAAAAGGAAAAGGGAAAAGAATGCAATAACTTTACCTCCTTAGAGGGAACAGGGGTAATAGACTTCATGTGGGATGAAATTGGTAATATGTTCAGTTCATCATCCATGACCACACATGCCTTGCACGAAGCAAGTGACAGTAAGAAGCGTTCATTAAAGCGCCCAGCAGCCTCAGAGTGGGATTCAGTTCGAAATCGATCATGAACATCCTACAGTGAGTAAAACACATGCAAGTTGCTCTTAACAGGACTTTAAACATAAGAATAATAAGATAAGTAATAGTTTTTTAATAGAAGTGCATGTCGGAAAAAATAATATTGATAAATTTCTTGTTTTAAAGAAGCGGAATGGGGCATCAGAGGATAAGGGCAATGAAACATTCCCAAAACATCATCAACAGAAAATTAGTGTTTCTTCGCTATTCTAAAATAAACTTCCATCAACATGAATATGAGAGGAAAGGCTAATATTTGATGCTCAAGAGTCAAGACAGTAAGCCTATGAACACACCAATCTATAGTGGATCTTACAAACTTCATGGCATGAAGAAAAGAGGGGGGAAATCACATGGAACCAAATTCCTGCTTATAGCTACTCAAAGACCAAATGTGAACAAATAAAAGAAGATTCTACACTTAACCACATGAAATTTAAAAACTGATGAAAAATAATAATTATGATGAATATATGATCATACCATCACCATGGTGTACAAGCTGGTTAAAGAGGATAGAGAACGAAGTAGCAGCACAATCAACCCACCTCCCTCCACTGTCTCTATTGTTCTTGCAAGGAGATTGGGTGTCAAAGCCTCAAAATCCTGTAAGGAAAGAAAATGTTAAACTTGTTTTGATACAGAGGGGTGAAGCAGAAAAATAACTACCAAGAACGAGAGAGCAAGTTACCTGAAGTATACACATTCCAAACGTATTACCAAGAATTCTTTCTGAATCCTTATATAAACAATAAGTTAATCCACCACTTTCTACAAACAGTGAAAATGGATCAACTTTCTCAGGATCCAGTAGACCCCTCTGCATCAACTTTTTGATCTGCTTTGCACGTTTTTTCTTATGGCTACATTCATAATCATCTTAATCAAGTTACTGCAAGTTCTTTTTAAAGAATCATAAAAACAAAATAACATGGCATTGACTCGTTGATAATTGTATAATGAACCTGCTAAGTTCAAGTTTGTCCTTGTAACACCACAAAACAGTTGGCCTGGATTTGATCTGGGCCTTGCTAAGCATGTAATGGAGATTTACAATCTGCACAAGGTGGAGGCAACTTTAAAAACTCACGTTGTATTAATACCCTTTTGCTTCACTTCAAATCAAATTTTACAGCTTTGGTCTGATTCTTAGGAACAAATTATCCAAAAAAAAGGAAAAATAATTATCATGTTTGTTTGTGAGTCTCAGTAAATGATATAGTGTCAGAGAGGAAGAGACCTGGTCCCGAGACTTGTCACCAATGATGACAAACATGGAACGATGCCTTGTTTTGACACCATTTTCAACGAGAGTCCTGATTCGTTCATCTACTTTCTTCCTCATTTTCTGCTGCAATCAAGTGTTTGTATGTTAGCACCTGACAAACAAATTAATTCGTCAACTTTCAACTCCTCCATTTCAAATCAATCCATTATTAATTATCCGCATAACATTAAATACTAATACCATTAAAACAGTTAACAGCATAAAAGATAGTGGGGAACGGAATCAAAGCAGACTCCATTGGCCACTAAAAATGATTAAGTCATGGCATTGACGGAGAGGTTTTCACAAAGTGACAGAGCAAAATGTAAAAAGGGATTTTTAATGAGGAAACGGACTCGGACACTTACCTGAATGAAAAAGTCGGCGGCTGCAGGAGCAGGCGCAGGACGACGGCTGGAGGAGCAGCAACGAGCGGAGGCCAGGCAGAGCCGAAAACTGGGAGGAGAAGAAGAGCGGGTGAAAATATAGAAGGCTTTTAGTAAAAGCGGGCTGAGCGGCGCACTTAAATATGAGACTAGCGTGGTCGCGAGACAGGATGAGAGAAAACATACGAGCAACCATGCCCCCGTCTCATTTAAGTTGTTCTTTTATTTTTCTTTCTTTTTTTTTTCCAGTAAATTGTTCTTTTCATACTTCATATTAATGTTCAATAAGATATAATTATGAATTTTTAATATATAATCATAATTATATATAATCATCAATGTTGAACAAATACAACTATAAATCCATAAGATCACGTAATTAAACCCATCAACATAAATCCACTTCCTAATTTTTTTGTTCTGATTTTAAATGTAATCCCCTTATTTTGTTTCCTGAAATTGTCATGAATTACAAATCTCAATCAGAAACTAATGGGAAAAAATATAGTCAAAATTTGCCTGTATTTCCTGAAATTTAAATTTTCAGATTAAAACTCTTAGTAAATTTGAAGTAATATATTAAATGTAACAATAACATGCGATTAATACGTGGCATTAATCCTATGTGTCAAAGCTAACTCAACAAAATCGGTCAACTGACAGTCAAAATTAACTTACTAACGGTGGGCTGATATTATTACGTTTTTAACACTCCTGGGACAACATTGCTTTTAAAAAAACTTTCAGGAACTACAACTCTTAATTGATAACTTCTGAGACGACATTGGACATTATCCTCTATATCTCTATATATATATATATATATCAATGTAAACATAAAGTAAATACTAAAAAATTAAGAAAAACGAAAGAAATTATATTCCACTAAAAAATATTATAACAAAGGGACATATCCCTACCAAAATTATTCCATAGTAAAATAGGCCAATTTAGAAGTGAAATTTTCTATCTAATCTTAGTAATTAGTATATTAATATGTTAAAGAAGCTTTATTCCCCATAAAATATAAAAAAAAACATTATTACGATTTCTATATATTATGATTTATTATAGATTTTATTGATTATGTCGAAATTTTCATCGAAAACAAGTTTTTTGACTTACACACAAGTATTAGCCTGTAGAGGTAATAAAAAGAATGACCACCCCTTTTGCATATAAAAATATATATATATCTAGACATCCTTTTTAACTACATTAATATTACATGCATTTTTTATTTTTACAACTCACATAAATTTATTCTAAAATAAAAATAAATTACAAAAACTTTTTTGAATTGTTTAAAATGGTCTATTTTCAAAATTTTCTAGATATTGTATAACCTTTCTTTAATATATACAATAAATTATAAAAGATTCTGAGTTTTCCTAAAATTATATAATTTTTATTTCCATTAACAGTTGTGTCGATTTTTAAAAATAATTTATAAATTTTGATCCTCTCTTATAAATATCATTTACACTAGGTGTTTCATTCTGATTTTCCCTTTATAATAGGGAATGGGTGAGAATTTTGCGGGCTAAAGTATACATTAAACACTTGTCAAATTAAAGTTGACAACTTTTTTCCTTCCTTCTAAAAAAGTGCACAAACCTATTAATAACAAATGAATTAACGCTGCTCACTGTAGTCTCCTATATGCTTTATTAAGACAGTTTTGAAACTAATAAACCTCAATAATCTCAAGACGTGTCCAAAAACCCACGATTCTCTCCGATATTGCCTACTCACATATAAATACATATATCACCATTTTCAGTTATTAGTTTGACCCAGAAAAAAAAAAAAAGAGCCCTCCACGTAGACATCACTAACCAAAACTCAAAGTAATCATCATCATCATCATCGATCTAATCTAGCTAGCTAGCTGGGGAATTAATAATCATCGATCATCCTGTTCTTGATATGCGTAGCCTGTGTTTTCTGCTAATTATTGTTGTTGTTATTATATTGGCACAATATTGCCAATGTGGAGAATCATCATCGATGGCAGGCCTGGGTGTGAACTGGGGGGCTCTGGCTTCTCATCCATTGGAGCCAGGAATTGTGGTTCAGTTGTTGAAGGATAATGAGATAGAGAAGGTGAAGCTGTTTGATGCAGATTCCTGGACTGTGAGTGCACTTTCTGGGACGGACATAGATGTCATTGTTGGAATTCCCAATGATCAGTTGCATGAAATTGCTCGTAGTAGCAAACATGCTGAACATTGGGTCAAAGAAAATGTCACCAAGCATCTTCATGATGGCGGGGTCAATATCAGGTATGGATTATATTATTTTTTATATATACCATTTTCCATGCTTTAATTATATATATATTTACTCTCTATTCGGAAAAGTCATCCAAATCTTATATCATGAAAATTATATTATTTATCAATGTGAATGTTGATGACTTGATATCCATATCAACATGACCAGTTTTCCGCATGTCCTTTTTCAATTTTCTTAGAAAAATCGTCTCGAGTAGCAGGTTCGGCTATAAATTTCGTAATAAAAATATGTCTCTAAAATGGCCACTTTATAATTTTTTTTAAAAAAATTTATACAACTAAAGTTGGTGTAATACAACCCAGGTAATGAAAAATTTTGTAAGACGTTAGTTTTATAGAGTGATTGGAAAAATATTGACACAGATTGATACCATTTTTCAAAGCCCCACTGAAATTAGAATAGACAATGAAATTATTGAACAAATTCTTTTTGTATGTGACGACATTGATATTGTGGTCGTTAAGGATATAACAAATATTAAGGCACGTTAATAACTCAATGTAATTAAAATTAGCCTTAGACAGGAAATAAAGAAATAATAGATGTAAAAGATTATACTACTTCCAGTCCTAATTATAAGAGTTAATTGATTAATTTGAGAGATTAAGAAAATAAGTTAAGTTAATTATTTGTAATAAATAAGTATTGTCTTTCTTAAAATAGCCTTGCTAATCAAGTTTATTGGCTAGAACTACCATTATTAAATGGATTATCTTGAAAAAATGCATAAATATGATAGACAAAGTGGATTGGGGTCTTATAATTAGGACCGAAATAAAACTCAAACGAAGTCTTATATTAAGGACCGGTGATAGTATTACAATTTCATCCATAAAAAAATTTGGATTTTCTCTTCCTACATATATAACACATTTGATTGATTTCATTATTAATGGCAGGCACACACGTAGATTGATCTAAACCATATAATCCAAACATACATACATGCATGCATACATATATAGATATATCACTCTCTAAATATATACAAAAATATGTTTAACTTATAATTCTTTGGTCATTTCAGATACGTAGCTGTTGGGAATGAAGCTTTCCTCACAAGTTACAATGGAAGCTACGTGACGCTGACATATCCAGCAATGGTGAATATTCAGAACGCTTTAGAGAAGGCTGGCCACGCAGACACAGTGAAGGTAACTACACCCATGAACGCCGATGTTTACCAATCTTCTTCCAACAAGCCGTCGGACGGACAATTCCGCGACGACATCTCCGACGAGATGAAAAAGATAGTGAGTTTCCTCAACGACAACAAATCACCCTTCATGGTCAACATATACCCTTTCCTTAGTCTCTACCAAGTCGCAGGTTTCCCTGATAACTTCGCCTACTTCGACGATAATGCCCAACCAATCAGCGACAACAACGTTCAATACACAAACGTGTTCGACGCAAACTTCGACACTCTTATTTACGCACTGAAAAAAGTAGGGTTTCCAAACTTAAGCATCCAAGTAGGTGAAGTAGGGTGGCCAACAGATGGGGATGTAACTGGAAATGCAAACCCTAGCAACGCACAGAGATTCTACAAAGGGCTTCTGAAGAAGATGGCGGATAAAACAGGAACCCCACTTCATCCTGGGCCTATAGAAATGTACTTATTCTCACTTTTTGACGAAGATTTGAAGAGTATAGCACCGGGGAACTTCGAGCGTCACTGGGGAATTTTCCGGTACGACGGAAGACCCAAGTTTCGAATAGATTTTTCAGGTGAAGGGGAAGATCAATGGCCTGAGGGAGCAAAAGGGGTGAAGTATCAAGAACGACAATGGTGTGTGGTGAGTAGTAATGTGGGGGACGAAACTGCATTGGAAGATACATTAGGGTATGCTTGTGAAAACTCAGATTGTACTAGTTTAGGGGTGAATTGTTCGTGTATGAATTTGGACCTGAAAGGGAAAGCGTCGTATGCTTTTAACCAGTTTTTTCAAGCCAGAGATCAGGACGCTGAAGCTTGTGATTTTAAAGGAATGGCCACTATTGTGAAACAAGATCCATCACAAGGGACTTGTTTGTTCCCTATAGAAATAGTGAGTAGTGCTGGAGTGATGATTCAACCAGTGAAGCATTTTGGAGGCATTTTAGTTTGCTTCTTAGTCATGTTGGTTACATTGGCCTGACGATGAAGATATATATATATATACACACACACACACACTCCTCCAGTCATTAATATAATACCTATTTAATTAATTAGATTAAAAAAGTTGGATAAGTTAGTTAATTATAAGAAATATGACATGTTTTTTCTAAGATACCATAATCATCTTTTTTAATATTCTACAGAGTTAATTTAGAGAAAATTGATAAATATGATAAATAAATTTTATATTTAGGATTAAAATCAACTCAACAATTAGGTTTTACGTTAAGGATTGGAAAAGTACATGTGCATATATATTGCCTAGTTTTTGGGATAATTTTTAATATTATATACAATACATAATTCCCGTACAGGATTATTATTGTTCATGGATACTATGAAAATGAATTATTTGTTGACTTCTTCCAAGTTACTAATAAGGAATTTTGAATGAATATAAATTATTCACAATTGGGTTCAACATTGTTCGATCACAATTGAACCAATAAAAGCTCGAACTATTACCTTCGGCAGCTGCGAATCTTAAAAGCAGTGACACAGACAAGCAAGGAAATTGTGCTGATATATATCAGTGACCAAGTACAAGCCACAACCATTATGCATCATATATAACACGACAAATTGAATCTGATAATGTACAGGAACAACTATACACCTCCGACTCCGAGGAGAAAAAAAATAAAGGGGAAGAAATAATGGAACGTTCGTGATTCTCCTAACCTAAAAGAACTGACAGCAATCAATAGAAGAAGAAGAAGGAACTAATCTTGTAAAACCTCCCTCCCCAACCCAAAAAACCGAGAGGGAGAAAGAAAGAGAGCTGAAGAAATCAATAAAACTTAATGAGCTACATAGTTGACCTACTGAATAACCACGAGGGATTTTGCTCGTCCAAAAACTCAACTTCCTAAATTATCAACAACGAACTAACCGAACAACAACCGGAACCAATCACTGTGATTTGCAATAACAAATCTCTTTTCTACTCTTCACGCGCAGGTCAAAGTCCGGAACCACTTTCGAGCTCGATGAAGTTGACCCTTGTGATAAAGCACAATAGCTGCCATGATCCATGGTAGAAACTGCCTCACATTAAAGGAAGGTAAGCTCCACCATGACCTTTCCTCAGCAGTAATGGCGCTGCGCTGTCGGGTACCTTATCCATTTCCTTCATGCATGCGTTAATGACATCCCCAAATCCGGTTGCCACGGTACTCAACTGAAGCCGCAACCTCAAATCCCTCGTCCGCTTCAGTAAGCACCTGAATGATCTTCCTAAATACTTGGCCCATTCAGCAGGCAACCCTCCTCCAGTGAGCCAAACTGAGAATTGAGATTGGTCTCCTCTGGCAGCCACTTCAGCTCTACAGAATCTAGCTAGTTCAGTTAGCATCGAAGGTGGAAGAGGTAACACAGCAACAAATTCGGCAACAAACTCTTCCATCACTTCAGGTTTGAGCATCTGGTTCCAAAGTACCAATGCCCACTCACCCGGCTGGTTAAGGCCATAAGCTTCAGCTACAATTAAAGCTTCCTGGAATCGAGATTGCTCGACCAATGCCCTTCTAGCATTCGTTTCTGACAGATAAAGCCACTGAAAATCTGGCATTCGAATTTGAAGAGACAGGAGGGAAGCCTGAGCACAAGCCCTGCGAGTTTTATTGCCAGCATCAATGGAAGAGTGAACTTCAGCAGCTTCAATGAAATACCGCATGGCATCCAGCAAGTCTCCATTCTGGTCCTTGTCATAGCGATGGAACCACTGTTCACATGATTGCTCGGCACGTGACTCTAAAAGTGCGGCTGTCTCATGCTTCATGTCAAAATGGTTGTACACCTGTGAAGAACATAAACAATGATGAATAGAAAATACCACGTTTTAATATAACCGCCCCAGAGATGGGCCCAAAATTCTAGACGTTAAGCATCACTAACTGAAGGAACAGAGAAACAGCAACAAGAGGATAGAGGAGAACAACTTTCCAACCTAATAGCCAAAACCGCAAAAGAAATTTGTCTACTTTTCGGCCATTCTTTAGAAAAGCTAATAACATGTATAGATAGAATATACAACAGCATGTGTTGATAAATTTGATATGAAGTGCATTGGCTAAGAGCATTTCAATAACCCCTAAAAAAACGAACTTTCTAATATTGACCTCCATGGCCACCAAACGTGCTAGAAACCAGACCAACCTATATATAATATAAAAATTCTAATAAGCTGCACTACTCATAACATGAACTGTGAATAATGTGGAAACCCACACTAGTTGAAATGAAGAGGTTTATTTTTGGAATGATCAAAGTTCTTGTCTCAGAAAAAATAAATTGCATCCCAGAAGCACAATTTTATCTACATACTTTTCTACAAGCTACCATAGACAAACTTGCCAATAGTTTAATACTAGAAATGACAAACATTAAACAAACCATAGCAAAGGCATCGAGGTCATTAGGGTTGAAATGCTTTAGAGATGTCAGAACAGCCATTCTAAATCCTCTGATAGCCTCAGCAGTGCCCGAATTTGTGGCTGCAGCGGCAGAATACTTCTGAAGAAGAAGATCCAATTGACCATTTTCTATAAGAATACCAAGAATAAAATTAAGAGCATAAAAGTTTCCAACTCCTGTTATCAGGCGAGCCAAACACGGAAAATCACCCTCCAACACATAAGAGTCAACCCTGGTTGCAGCAAGGGCTACAAGAACATCAACTCCATCTAGGCAAGCGGATGATTTGTAGAAGTGGTGAGACAGAATAAGAAGCTCAACCTGTAATGCCATTTTCATGGAAGAAAAACATCTTTAACTACAAACAAGGAGATGGTCTGGCAAAATTGCAAAGATAAATGTCTCAAATAGTTGCACCTTTACAAAGGTTACTCTTTAAACAGACAAGGATGGAAACCACAGCAGTGCAAAAGAATGGTCTGCCAACTGATTATATGTATAGGGGACATAGCAAAGCTAGATAAGTAAATGTCGTCCTCATATAAGCTAGAATGGTATGGAGTGAAAAAAAATCAACTTATGTGACTACTTTAGGTGGTCATTTGATCAATTGAGATTACTCCTCTCACAGTTACAAATCACAACAAAACAATGCTTTCACTGTGTGCACGCACGCATGCATATAAATGTGCAGTGCATGAGGATAAACATATCCAACTAACAACTGTTGATATGATACCTCACAGGCGTGTGGAATTTCTTGTCCAGTAATCACCAAGCGCATTAAAGCATGTCCAATTTCAGGTTCAGATGGGCAAAGTTCAGCCCATTTCAAGAAATCTGAAAACCTCCAAAGTAGTGGAGCCGGCCCTTCTTCCTCCTTTTGAGAATCCATATAGCCTCCACGATGGGCAGCCAGCAACCCCTGGACAATGTATATAAAGCACATCATCAGAGAACCAGTGTTAGTTATAGCAAAAGGAACCATGATCAGCTTCACAAACTTGTCTAGGAACGCCCTTGCCTAACACAGCATCAGTAAAACCAACATGTCAAGTAAGGAATAAATGCCCTGAAGACACCAATTAACAAATCGGATAAATTCATCAGTCAATTTAGCTTCCCAACTCACAAACCCATCCATGAAAAGATATAAAACATTTATCATGCCATACCAGTGAAGAAAATACTAGCTAATATTGAAAAAACAAAGAAAGAAGAAATATACCTTCAGGAAAGATTCTGCCAGTATTTGAGCAATACTTGCGGCTGGCATTAAATGAGTCTGCACCAGGAGGCTTGCCTCCTCAAAGGACTCCTGTGCTTTAAGAGAAAGCAGCTGTAGTAGTTCAATTGGTTGCTTGTCGAATGCCTCAAAAAACGAGATGCCCAACTTGTTTGCAGCTTTTATAACTGCTATTATTCTCTTAGACAGCCCTCGTCCACTTCCTTCAGGAAAAACCGCCACCAAACTCTCCAATATCTAACATCAGATGTTTATAAAACAGTATTCATACAGAGATCGTATCAATAATAAAGAAACAAAACACAACTACTAACATCCTAGCATGCACCACAGTACAGAGGAACTAGGAATATAAGAGGTGACCTGCAGCGGATCAACATTATGCTGGTCTCTCAGTATATCATATGACTGCAAAACAGAAAGCACTTCTTCATCAAGCATTGACATGGATACATTGCAAGGAGGAGTTGAGATAGCAGCAAGCTTCAAGGCTGCATCAACGAGTCTGAATTCAGATGGTATTTGTCCAGGAGACAGCTTATATTGCAGTTGCTTGGCAGCGGTTATTTGCCCAAATTCCAACAAAGAAAGCACGGCCCTTTCTAGCTCTGCTGCTCCAACCCTTTCCTCCCACCTAGAAAAAGACATTTCCACCTTAAGGTTTTCTTCTTGCAACTGCAACTCATTTTTAAAACTCAAAGGACCAGAGCCATCATCAGTATCCGATGACTTATCCCCTGATTCCAGAGGTTGACGTCTTGATGGCAAGTACCCCTTGGTCCTCCTTTTTGTCTTTGTACTTCCAGTAAAAGCAGTTGAAAACCCAGCATCAACTGCTTGATTCTTGTAAGAAACAGGGTTGTTTTCTTTGGACTCGTATTTGTCAACAGTTCTATTCCTCATTGTACTTATATGATTGTCCATCTTTGCAATTATACTTGCAGTACGGTCAATAATATTGGTATCATTCTTGTTAACAGTGTCCCTGGTGGAAATAGTGTAGTCTCCTTCACTCTTCATCTGAGTCTCTGACTCGACTGCTAAGAGCCATACTTTCGTCTCAATTTCACGCAGAAGGTGCAACGGACAGACTCTGAAAATTTTAACAATAGAGATAAGTAAAGATGTCTCAAGATTAAACAAATAATTTTATATGTGTTCATACGGGTTAGATAGGCTTATCATCCCACTAAGCCATTGCAGCGATAGCAACAAAAGTTCATGAAGCTCCCATGCTGGAACATCTCTTTCAACAGCTTCTGCATGTCTAAGGAAAAATAACCCAGCCTGCAATCATTATGAAAGAGATCAACTTA